ATGAGAAAGAGAAATTAATAAAATGCTTGTTGTAATTGTTTAATAAAATCATCAAAGTCCAAACGAACATAGTGATGAGCAAACGCATATTTTGTCGGATAAAAGAATGTTTATCGTAAACGAAAAAAAAATTTCCTCCTGAAAATAACATTTATTATTTCTTCTTTGTCAGAGAAATACGGGATTAACATTCGCAGTATAATATAATTAAAATCGTTTCATTAAACTTCGTATCGTGATTAGCACGGAGTGTTGCTAGAGGGGCTCCAAAATAATACGATTCCACGCAGGTAGACGCAGTCGGTTGTTAGGCAACTAATTACCGACGACAAACGAGGATTGCCTTCTGAAAAAAAGGAGGCCAAAAGATTACAACCATGTACGTCGTACGTACATATGCGCATACAAACCACCAGGTAAAACTTTTAGTTACAGTTTTAGTTGCGAATGCAAACTGTATTCCCCACCGGGGTTAACTAAATCGAAGCTTATAAGCTATTCGATGAAAAGAGGTAGCTTGTAAATCTTTGATCGCTTTTTGACTAGAAAAAAAAATAAAATAAAAAAAAAAAGCAACCCGATTGTGGTGGATATAAGGTTTAACGCGAGTTGCCGGAGAGTATCGCGGGAGTAGATTACGGCAAATTATTCGTCACCGTCTCGTTGAATACTCATTCGTATTCAACTCTCGTCGTAGGCATAGAAAAGTTTTCTCGTTGTCGTTGTTATTCTATGAGAAAGCACGTTCCCACGATATTTCGACATCGCAAGATAATAGAAGCAACATTAACGACACGTACTACCACTACTGCTACTACTACTACTACTACTACTACTATTACTACTACCTGTTCCACCGAGCCGTGTAACTTTTAGCTGGTAAGATTTGTTTGTAGCCTCGTACGCTAACATATTTCACATCGCGTACGGCACATAGCGTTACGCCCTTGATAATAAACTTTACTCCCCTGTGTATCCGAAAGCTTGTCGTGAACGTTCTCTCCAACTCGTAAAACTATCTGTTAACCCGATTTCTGGGGGGTCCCACCCACCCCCATCAGCTTGGCTGATATAATTAAGGGAAGAGAAAAAATTTGGCTCGCTTTAATAGAAGATGGAGGAAAGTGCCGAGAGTTGCGCGTCCAGTCGTTGATTTTTCAGATTTCCAAATCGATAAAAAGACGACGACGACGACGACGACGAATCGATGGTCAGAAGGAATAGTTCGCTGGTTCGTTCGATCGATCGAACGAACCTACCCTTTCCTTTCCACCAGTCTTTTTCCAAACTCTCCTTGATTTACGATAATCCAGTGGGTAGTCGAAACCCGGAACATAAATAGGATAGAAGCCAACAAGCGAAGAAAAAGGAAGAGAAACGAGCACGCAAAATATTTCCAATCGGAAAGTTTTCGCGCCAAAAGTTTGCACATCTCCGCTCTACACCCTAACCCACGGTAGTATTCGTCCTACGTTTGTCGAGTGGGCGATGAATCGCATGAATCTTTTCCGTCCTTGAATCTAACGAAATTTCAGCATATTTCCTACAGAAAACTTCCTCAACAGTTTTATCATTTTTCGACTGGAGGACCTTTTCTTCGGGGACAAATATCTGTGTGTGTGAGCATGTATAACATATACATATACCTGCACAAGAGGAGGACAAATAAAAGAAATTCGGGGATACTCCGAGGAATCGAGTCCTCGCGTAAGCTCGTTTTATGTTGAAATGTTGCGAGTTAAAGTATCGATATATCCAAAGTAGTTTAGGAAAAAGAGTCAAATCTTTTTCCAAGGGCGCGATAATCTACGATAACCGTAAGTCATAACTGTCACGTAACACAATCACAAATATCATACTCGTAAAATTGAAAGCACAGGAAGCTTGGAGTTCGAAATAACAGTTTAGGGCTTGAATATTTCTCTCTATTGGTCATAACAATTTTATTTGGATCCGTGGGAGTGCTATTAAGTGTGGTTTCAAACTTGATCTCTAGCACACTGAAAAATATATGCATATCCGTAGGTATATCTACGCCTGTAAACTGGCAAGCTTTGCTAGCTTCTCGTATGACGAATGAACATCGAACATGTAAGTCAGAAGCACATTTGTGCAGGGCGCGTGGTCGCGTCTATAATAAACGAGCGAAACGTCGGCATCGTTCGGTATACAATATCCACCATAAACGGACCCTTTCACATGCTGTTCACTCGACCAATTATGAAACAGTAGTCCGTGTAAATCCACCCCATTCATGACCTTAAAAGCTTTTCCCCGCGAACAAAGAGAACATCCTCGACGCACTGCATTTTATTATCTCTCTTGTATTTTTCTATTCTTTTTCTATTTGTTATTGGTTCTGCTTTTATTTCATTATTTTATCCGTTACTACTCCTTGCGCTCAATTTAATACGATTTCAAAGGATTCCAGATAAATACTGATTAAAAGAAAGATAGAAGATATTTTTTGCTTTCATTTTATTTGGTTTTACGCGAACACCATCTATAAACGGAACGAACAGAAATAGATTACCTTATCTGTCGAGAGTGATAGAGGAACCGATAGAAGATTTATTTCACCCTTTCCCACGGAAATGTTCCCATTACGAGCCCGGCTATCTTCCACGAGGGGGACGACGCGCCCGCGCCCGCGCCCGGGCGCATACGTTTCGCCATCCCCAGTCGAATTTTTAACCAACTAATTTATTTCTAAACAATTCGACCGAATATCGAAAACCCCCTTTCCTTCTTCGGATTAGAAAGTCTGCGTTTTATGATTATGAATCGACCGATAAAATTATTCTACTCGTAAAATCGATGATAAGCAGTTCTATAAACTTGATTCGCTGATAAAGACAAGGAAAGAAATTCTACTAGGAAGTTTCCCTATTTCGTTAAAACATCAAAAACACTCGAGAAAGAGAGAAAATTAGACTAAACTCGATTCTCAAGTGTCGATCAACTACAGACACGTTTTATTTAAAGGTATACTTATCGCGAAACTCGTCGACCTTCAAAATTTCTCTCATTGCATTGAAAACTTTGGAACGCGACGAAGTCAAATTAGACGTCTTCGTCGTAATAATAAATCTTATGTCGTGTACGAGCGGAATACATGGTCTTTGTCATAGATTTTGTTGTCCTTATTTCGAATGTTCGTCACACTCGTCTTTGAAAATTTTTCTCCCACGTCTAATGAAAATCTTGCGAAAACACGAAGGTGCATTAAACCGTGAAACGTTATACGATTTTAACAAAAGCACGGCATTGAAGAGAATCGAAATAAAAAAAGAAAAAAAAAAGAAAAAAAAAGAAAGAAGGAAGGAAAGGAAGAACGAAAGAAACGAAGAAACTCGTTAAAATTCTAAAGGAGAATTTAATGCGCTTGGCTAACTCCTCGAATAACTCGAGGAGGAGCATGCGCCGCGCCTACAACCGATTTTGATAAACAATTAATCCTTCTCTCTAATACTGCCAACCAGTAGAATTGAACAATTAATTATTGAACGGGCAATATCAGTTGTCGTGGCTATGGAAACAAAATATTCAATCGGATTGCTTGCTGCAAGCCATCTGCGAACGATCGAACGTTGTTGCCAAAATGATGGGTTCAAAAATCAAATGGCAAATTTTCAGGAAACGCTCGATATCTGTAAAACTGTAAACGATGCCATTTAGTCGTATCACTTACTTTTCATTTCAACGAAATTTAAGTCTTTCACAAAATTTTTCTTTCACCTTTAACGTTTCACGTAAGCTATCGTATTACGCGAAAAGTAACACACTGGATGTGAAAACCATCAAAATTTCTTTTACTTTCATCCCTTCTTCTTCTTCCCGTTTTTTCTTTTCGCACGTTTGTTATCTTTTTTTCTTTTTTTTCTTTTTAGGGACGTTTACTCGCAGGCGTCACTTTTCTCACGCTCACACAAACACACACACAAATAGAACGTAGATCTCAAAAGAGGAACTCGCTAGATTCTCTTCGTACTCGAACTTTTCATTCAACTGGCCTTCGACGACGCCGCGGAAGAAAACATAAACCCGGACTAAAGTGCAGCAAAATACGATATGCGAAAAGTTTTGAAAAACTTTTCTGCCTTCTACTCTTACCTAACTTTGGTCGAATAGTGTGATGGTGTGACCATTCGTTGCTACGAGTATAAAACCATGAAAAATTACGTGCTAAGAATTTTCTTTATCTTTCTTTATCTTTTTATCTCGATTTTAACGTTAATTTTTACGAGAAAGAAGCATTATCCTTGATCCAGCTTTTTTTTCTTTTTCTTTTTCTTTGTTTTTTTTTTATTCTTCATTTTACTTTACTTCAACTTTATCTATAAAGTCTGTAAAGGTTATACGTATCTCTAGAGTGTATACTCGACGTTATAATTTCCTCCCCAGCGAATTCGATCCATCATTCCGTCGAATAGGAGCTGCATCAAACCCGAGGCTTTGTCTTGCAAGCTGCTATCGCAGAAAAGCCATGATCGTCTAGAATGTCTTCTATGCAATCGTTGCATCGAAGGAAACGATATACCTAAACCTCGACAAAGCCACATCATTCTTCCCCCATTCGATTCAAAATCAAGCAACGATCCTTTTCTATAGTTAGGTAGATACGAGAAACGATATCAATTTCTATTCGATTATTGGGAAAGTATCTAAATCCGAGCTAAAATAGTACTTTACTTTTTTCGTTCGTTGATCAAAAAAAAAAAAGGAAAAAAAACCTTTTCAATAAATTCGTAAATGAAACATCGAGAAAACGATAAATTATTTCTTCCGTACACATCTTGCTCCTCGTCGTCTGTTCCTCTGGGAATTTAAAGAATAATATAGAAGAAGAATGATAGAGAGAAATCAATGTGGTATACGCTGTCCCAGATTTGATCTACTTTGCTCAGAGTCAAAGTATTCTATCTTGAAAATAAAGTAACATAATTTTTAGTTAGTATCATGTCATAAAAAGCTGTAACAATCGATTGGCATTGTTTCAGAGTGGCGGACAAAGCGGTGTCTGGATCGTGAGCGTGATTATACTGTCGATTGGCAGCTGGGTTGGCAGAGTTGGACCGCAACCGGCTGATAACGATCTCGTGTCGTCCTTGACAACGCCGCGAGAGAGACTCGAAGTAGTACGACAAATTCTAACGGAGGTACCGCTGATCGACGGACACAATGACCTACCTTGGAATATCAGAAACTTTGTCCACAACCAGTTGGCCGATTTCGACTTCGACAAGGATCTCCGGCAAGTCCCACCGTGGAGCAAAAGCAATTGGAGTCAAACGGACTTGGTCAGATTGCGACAAGGCATGGTCGGTGGTCAGGTATTATCGGCTTTTCTCTACTACCCACCACTACTCTCTGTCCTTCCTCCCTTTTCTTCAATAATAAGGTTCACGTCGCCGTAGTTTTGGGCCGCTTATGTGCCATGCGACTCTCAGCATCTTAACGCCGTGCAGCTGACTCTGGAACAGGTCGACCTTATAAAACGACTGATAGAAAAGTACTCTCAACAGATGCAATTTGCTGCATCGTCTGAAGGTTCACTTTTAAATATTACTCGAGCGATTTATTGCAAATAACCAAATGTTTAATCGTACTTTTTTGGTTGGACGTACAGAAATCTTAGAGGCTCACGAGAGAGGCAGAATAGCTTCGCTCATAGGGGTGGAAGGAGGACATAGTCTAGGAAGTAGTCTAGCCGTTTTAAGGACTCTTTATCACCTCGGCGTAAGATATTTGACGTTAACGCACAGATGTAACACACCCTGGGCTAAAAGCTCCACCGCCGAGGAGGACGACAAGGACGGTGAGTCAAAGATTTTTCACGATTTAATTTGAATTTATCACCGTTTCGAATCTCTCTCTCTCTCTCTCTCTCTCTCTTTCCTCTCGACTAGACGATCGATAATAACAGTATATCTATAGATAAAACGGCAACGAATAAAACGAGGCAAATTGATGAATTACATTTGAAATTCCGCGCGAATTCCCGGAAATTCAATTCGAAACGATAAAATATGTTGAAGCGTAACGGAGGACGATGGGAAATGGAGTAACGCGATTTAAAAAAAAATTAATCACTCTTCGTCCATAATCTCTCATGCGCGATCGATCAATACCATCGGGAAATCCTCTCCGCGTGAATTTGCGAATACGATTTTGAAGAGGAAATAGGAAAGGAAAAAGATAAAGGAAGAAAGAATATGCTTTTCATAATCAATCTCGCATATCATTGTTAATATCGAATCAAACTGAAAAGTAAAAGATAGAAGATAAAGTAGGAAGGATGGTGGGTGCACACTCATTGTCATACTCAAAGTGTGGACCGCGTAAACTATCCTTCAACAAACTAAACAGATGGTAATCCAAGGGTGCAAGAGATCCTCCGGGCTATAAACAGGATGGAGGAGTACGGTCCATCCCTTGGCTGCGGTTACCTCCTCAAGTGCCCCTAAGCAACGCGAGTATATGGTTTTATAGCACTGCTACACAATGTCTGGTTAAATGTTGCCAAAGTACGCTACACAAACTAAAAGATCTATTTCGGTCCTTTGTACTGATGCATACACTTTTGTACAAATTTATTTCTTCATCCTTTATGGTGTATCTTATTTTGAATTAACCTACTATTTTTATTGTGATTCTTAGGAGGAGGTTTAACGGCGTTCGGCAAGGCCGTGGTACGAGAGATGAATAGACTAGGCATGCTGATAGACCTCAGCCACACAGCCAGAGCAACAATGAAGGATGCCCTGAAAGCGACCAAAGCACCTCTGATCTTTTCACATTCCTCGGCCTTTGCCATTTGTAATTCCTCGAGAAACGTGCCCGATGACATTTTAAAACAGTTGGTAAGGTCGACAATATCGAGATAATAATATTGCTTTCGTTTGCTCCATTTTCTACATCCGACACCTCTCTTAGCCTTTTAATTTACACCTCTGAAAAATAATTATTCTCGCTTTTAAAGATACGACGTTACTTTCCTTCGATCCTCCCCCACGTTCCTCATTCCCTTTTCACTCTCTCTCTCTCTCGGGGATAGATAATTATCTTTGCTCCTCGGCATCTAGAATTCCAATGGTTTGAAACAATTACCAGCGACGATTCCTTTCTATTGTCGAGTTTTCTGCTCCATTAAAGTAAGAATCCTCTCCTAGCCGACCTCGTTAAGAAGCAAATTAACAGGGACCAAAATTAACGGCTCCATCCACCTGAAACACGGCGGTATAATTGTAACTGCGGATAACAAACCGCCGTGCTCTCTACTCTTCCACTTGTAGCGACCATCGCGACTGATAATTTTCCTACCTTTCATTTAGTATCGCTCATTAAAATCGTATTACTTTCCTTGTGCATATTATCAAAAGATCAAAGATGATAGACGTATAATATTCTATATAATTATGTATTAATTCGTAATGTTTAGGCTGCCAACGGCGGATTAGTGATGGTGACATTTTATAATTATTTCGTCAAGTGCGGTCCTGAGGCAACTATATCTGATGTGGCGGAACATATTTATTATATTAAAAATCTTATCGGCGTCGATCATATCGGAGTCGGTGGTGATTTCGATGGTATCAACAAGTACGTCGATATTATTTGAAATATAATCTTATTTAATATCAAATATTCATTGGATTGTTTTACCTTAGAACACCGAGAGGTCTCAACGACGTTTCCAAATATCCCGATTTATTTATAGAACTTATTCGAAGTGGCAAATGGAGCGTACTCGATCTGAAAAAGGTGGCCGGTTTAAATTTACTAAGAGTCTTTAAAAAGGTAATAATCCGTTATTAGTGTTATCATCTTTAATATTTTAGTTTGAAATGATTATTATTATTATTACTTGTAGGTGGAACGCGTGAGGGACGATATGAGAACTGCCGGTGTTACGCCATCCGAAGAATATCTTCAAAATTCTCCGGACGTTAACGGGAAATGCGCGTTGGACACTAATACAGTGCAAAGAGGAGTGGAAGTCTAATCTAAAACCTCATGGCGATCTCTCCTATCTTCGTTCGTTATACTCTTGGTCATTTTAACGATGACCAAGAGGGAACGAATGGACAGTTGCCCTGGTAAAGGGCCAATCTAGGTCAACGAGGGCGTACCAAGAAGAAAAAGAGACAGCATGCAAGCTTCCTTTCTATGACCTGCTCACTTTCAAAGCCTGTACTTTCTTCATCCGTGTCATGGAAAAAAAAATGGCTCACGAAGAGAATCCCATCGTGTCGTAAACCTACCTCGGAACTCGTTCTTGCGGAAGTAATGAGCAACGAGTCAAAAGAATATTTAATATATTGATAAACTTTATTTTATATATACATTTATCTTTTCTATTACGTTATTTTTTGTTTGTTTTTTCATTCATCTTTAGCTTTTATAATAGATCTTCTTTCATTTAAAACTCTCGCATAATCAAATGAAATTCGTCTTAAGAAATTTTGCATCGTTGCTATTACTTTCGTCATTTCTGCTTTATAAGTAATAATAAAGCTATTATCAATTTTCAAAATGTACAATCGCGCTCACGTAAAATCAAAGTAATCGTGTATTATCAAAAGAAATCTTACTCGATGGACACTTTTTTTTACGAAATCATTTCTATATATAAAGAAACGATTACGGGACGAAATATAATAATAAGGAAAACATGTCGTTTCGAAATGATCTTTACTTCAAAATCTTTTGAAATTTTCAGAATTACGTATAAACCTGACTGTACATTTTCAAAAGAAAATTTCTTCCTGTATTGCACTAAACGTAAAAGCACGTGCACATTCAAGTCAGATCGTTCGACTAAATTCTGACATGAACAAATTCGAGCTAACACACCTACAACAGGGTTTTTAAAAATCAAGCAAGAAAAGACTAAGAAGTTCAAGACTTAAAGAGTTCAAAACACCCACCACATTCAGATCAATTTTTTTATCCAGATTTCCCAAACATTTTTCTTTCTTTTTTGTTTGACTCAAATTAATAATATTATCTTTAAACTTTAACATCTTTTTTGGTAATATATTTAGTATAGCACAACTCTGCCTCGTGGATCCTTTTAATGAAATAAAATTGAAATGAGGTAGCACATTTCAACTTGCCGCTATATTTAAATAAAAAAAAGGGGAAAGAAATAAATGCGCACGTGTTTCTTAAAGCACACTAATAATTTGGCATAAAACTTCTTTCCTTGTTATCTTGAACTTCCATCCTATACCTATCTGTGTCTCGTGTACACTTATATTATAATCCGTGTAAAAAAAAAACTGGTTTCATCGCATAAATGTAAAACATCTATAGTGAAAAGAAGAAAATAGAAAAAAAGTTTAACACGTTGAGCGCTACGCCGAATTTTGATATCTTTCCGTTTAAACCACAGTCAACCCTGCCGGGCCCGTTCACCGTTAGACGAGCCAGAGTATAAAAAGATGTCGAAACGGAACGAAGATACGGTATCGTAATCAACACTTGTCTTCGTATGTTTAAATCTCTATTTGCAGATAATAATCAGAATGTAAAAATATTAGGACCACAGACAGCTAAAAATGTAACGCAAAAAGTAACAACCTTTTGTAACCAATTTAGGTACACAGAAACCTCACCTTTGTTTATCTTGTTTTAATAAATTACATTAATGTTTTTTAAGTATTATATTCTTTTTCTTGAAACATTGATAAAAAAAACCGATATCGCCTAATTTAAATGTTCAGTCTCACAAATCTAGCGTCAGTCCCTAGAAACCGACGTGGCGCTTAACGTATTAAAGACTTAAACGCACTAGCGTGAATCGCACGACGCTAAAATTATTCATTACATGATTAAACGTATGAAAAAAAAATGAAAAGGTAATTATAATTAATTATTATTCTAATATGAAGTGATATTTACATACAAAACAAAATTAAAATACGTCTTAGGAGTATTGTATTACATAATATATCACAATCTAGTAAAAAACGTAAATTTAATTGATGAAATACGATGCAATAAAATAAACCTTGAATTTGAAATGATATTCGGCCGATATCCAATTACAAGTACGATACATATTGTTTTGTGCTAGTGCGTTTAGAACTTTATGCTTGTCGACTAAAAAATGAATCGAAAAAATATCTATGTGCGCGGATTATATTAATTTCCTGTGTATATGTAATGTGACATGAATCAAAAAAAAAAAAAGGATAAAAATGCAAATGAAGAAAAGAAAAAAAAAGGGAAAAAACGAACAAACAAATTATATCAGATATTCCGTCGTGTCTTTGCAACGGATTCTACAAATAAATGTTTCTATTGTAAAACACTGTAATGAACAATTTATTTCTATCCAACAAAGTTCATTTCCACCAATACCAAATCCTGCCAGTGTTCCGACCATTCCTCCACCATTCGTAATGAAAACAAGAAAAAGAGAAAGAACTTAATTTAAAAGTAAATGAAACTAATATTATATAACGATTTAAGGATTCGTTTCGATATAAATCAAGTTTAGATTTTGATTATCATGCTAAGTCTCGATTTCCCAATCAAAATTACTCAATTCGGGATGACGCAAAGTGGGGATTTTAAGTTGCTAAAACGAAAGATTATTGAAAATAAACGACGATAAACTATAAGAGGAGGAATGGCATATATGTGAGGATGGAAGAAAGATGAAGGGTGCGAGCCCACATAACACGAAAGGTTTTGAAATCTTTCAGCGAAAGTTTCGTAAAATATTTCCAAAAAATCTTTCAGAAACCTTGCAGGCATCATTCTAAAATATTTTGAAAAAGATTCATAAAAGATTTTACAAAACTATTTTTAAAACATTTCTAAAATACTTTACTGATAAAGTAATCTTTTGCAAGGCTCTGAACGTGGACATTTTCACCTTGTAAAAAGATTTTTTGGAAACCTTTTTGAAAGGTTTAAAACTTTTAAGAAATGTTTTAGGAAGTTTTTATGTTATGTGGGAGTGCATGGTACGCGTGAAATTATCGATGGATGTTGAAAAATGAATATGAGTGTGTACGATCTGCCGTAAATAAAAATGGGCCTGCTTAGATGATATCACGTCTAATATATCGTTTTATAAGCGCCCCGAAACCTTTCGAATATTCCCAAACCAGAAATTTAAAAATGGTCCTTTAATTGATTCATTGGGAATAGTTTAGAAATTTCGAGAAGGATTGACGAAAGTGATTAAGGGGGGATATACATTTTGAAAAAAAGAATCGATTTTTTTTTATTGCATTTTCTAAAAGTATATCATTTCGAAAGTATTCTGTCAAAATTTCATAAAGATGTGACCTTTATTTATGGAGATATTGTAGACGAAAGAAATAATATGTAATTCTTTCTTTATTTTATCTCCTGTTTAAACGCGTTTTTCTCGAAACTACGTTTTCAAAATCGGTGAGTAAGAAATCTCACGAACGGATTAACCGATTGCTTTCAAATTTTAATCAGTTATTAAAAGTATAATAGAGAACAGATTGAACGATCGATTTTTTATTTTTAATTAATATTTTTTTTTTTTAAGCCGATAAATAGGCGTTTTTTTGGTGAAAAAACAAAACTTTTTTTTCAAAAGTGCGCCATTTTGTAAAAAATTAATATTTTGGAAAAGTTGATCGTTCAATCTATTAAAACACATCTATACAAGGTATTTGCATTGATTTTGTTTATTTCAGATTGTCCAGTAAAGAGATTCTTTACTCACCGCAAACCACCTTTTTTTTTTGGGCATCACGCAGATTGGTTATAACTCTGTTATGTATCAATATTTTTACATAAAAAAATTACTGTATTATCTTCAAACATGTATATTTTGAACTAAAGATCATTCGTCAAAAAATATAAAGCCAGTTTTCCAAAAAAAGTTCGTAAAAAAAGCGTTTTTTCGGGCCTCTAAAGGTATATCCCCCCTTAAGACCACTGGTGGGGTGAATGCGTATATAAGCGTGGCGTAAGGAAGCGGCGGACGCCTTCTTGATTCGGTACAACTAGTTTAGTAGCACGACGAAAAATCTGTGTAGTTCAAGATACAACCATTATTAATTAGTAATATAGGGAATTATAAATATTTACGATTCTTTTCTATTTTATTTCATCTATTATATATCTTTGAATAAATATTTTGAAGAAAAGTTATTTTAAAGGAAAGTTATTTTTAAGAAGAAGAAGAATAATAAAAAAAAACCTTACATTTGACGTCATGGACTTGAAAGAAATATTTATCGTAAGTAAACTTTTTGAATCGCATTAAAAAATAATAAATATATATGTTATTTTGTTTGAATTAATATTAATAATATCAGCAGTGGGGAAAAGACAATTCCAACTTATGGATTTACCTTATTGGAATAATTTGTTTTCTCGTAGTATATCTTCAAAAAAATTACATTCGATTGGTTAAAATCGCGTTAGGTCTCGATGGATTTCCGGCACTACCATTAATCGGTAATGTTCGCAATATCTTTGCACCAAATTGTAAGTATCCAAAAGAAAAAGACAGTGAAGAAAAAAAAATGAACATCCTTTGGAATCGTTTTAATTTGATATTTTTTCTTTTACTTAACTAGCTTTAAACGAATTAGAAAAATATTCGTTGCATAATATGATTAGATTTTGGATATCTGTTATACCATTCATAATGATCATTCGACCTGAATCCATTAAAAAAGTACTTAATAATTCGGAACAGACGAAGAAACCTTCTGTATATTTTTTGTTTCTCAATTATCTTGGTAAAGGATTATTAACGAGTCAAGGTGAAACTTACAAATTACATCAGAAGATCCTTCAAAATTTTTTTACAGTTCCAAAAATGAAAATGTACAATAAAACCTTTCTCGAGCACGCCGAATATTTGGTATCAACATTTCGTGATAATATTAATCAAGACATCAATATCACGAAATTTATCAATAATACCATTTATAACATACAAGCCGAAATTATTCTTAACTTAAAATTTACCAATGAGAATAATGAAACATCTTTCTATCCGTTCAAAGTGTAAGTATTGTTTTTATAATACATATAAATATTAATTAATCATATATGGAATGTCTCAAAATTAAACGACCAAAGTGAAAAGGCTTAATTTTTATATTGAAAAATAAAAAAAACAAATCTAATATCATATTTTTTCTTAATCTATTAGGACTCTTGATTTTTATGTATTTTTTGTATAATTTTATGTATAATTAATTAAATAAATGACGAATACTCGACTTTTTCTGTGTGCTCCGAAGGAAAATTTTGTCTTATGTTAAATGTAGATTCAAATTTATAAGCCTTCACAGAATTTTGGTCGTGTAAAGTTTAAAATATCTTACATAGAATCAGATAATAAATATTTCTAATAAGAAATCTAATTAGGAACGAAATGTATGCGGATTATCGTTTTAAACGACCGTGGTTAATGTTCGAATCATTGTACAAATTAACTAAACACTCGAAAATTGATGAAAAACAATATGACGAAAATTACGCCTATTGTTATAATATTATCAAAGAGATAGAAGAATCTAAAAAAAAAGATAAGCAACAAAGGAATGATAAGATATCTTTGATTGAATATTTAATTGATGCGAAACAAAACTATCCGAATTTCAATAACAATGATATCTTGGACGAAGTCAGTACGTTCATGTTAGCTGGTTTGGAATCCGTCAGCACAGCTACGACATTGGGCCTATTTCTATTAGCAAATCATCCCGAATGGCAAGAAAATTGCTTCGAAGAATTAAAGCAAATTTTCGAAGATTGTAGTACATTAACGTCGGTGGATTCTTTTAAAAAGATGAAATATTTGGAAATGTGTATAAAAGAGACACTCAGACTTTATCCTACAGTTGTGACAATATGCAGACGTCTCTGCAAAGATACAGAAATTGGTATTAAGAATTTTTTTAACCAACTTGACTTGATTAAAATTCTTCGATAAATTTTCGTTTCTTCGTTCACGTTTCGTTCACGTCTTCGTCGTCAACAAAAAATGATAAATTATATTGCAAATAATTCTTGGGTTTTTCTTTTAGATGGTCAAACGTTACCAGTTGGTACTCACGTCTTAATATCACCTTATATTACTCACCGAATACCGGATTATTATCCAGATCCGGAATCTTTTAAGCCAGAACGTTTTGATGTAAATAATTCGAAAAAATTAGATCCGCATGCTTATATTCCTTTCAGTATCGGTAATAGGAAATGCATCGGTAAATAATCACGAAAATGAACTATCATATTAAGTTATATTTGCGTTTTAAACCTTTCGTTATTTTGGCGCAAATATCGTTCGAGTAACGAAAATGTTCAAACGTTTCCAATTTTCTTGACTAATCCTTCCATTTTCTTAAAGGAAACAAATTTACGATGTTGGAAATGAAGGCGATCTTTAGTACAATTATTCGAAATTTTATATTGGAACCAGTTGAGAACAAGCACAAAATTAATGTCAAATTTAGATTGACATTACGAGCAAAGGGTGGCGTTTGGATTAAATTTAGACCACGAGAACCTATGACGGATTTTTACACAAATATGTAATAATATTAATATTTCGCTGAAGATATTCATTTTAATATACATTAAATTTTAGATTAATTAATATCTTTGTATAATCTTTGTAAATTTTCAAACCTATTCAAAAATGATTAAAATAATATGAAATATAACAATAATACAAATAAGTTATCAAAATTTTCTTGTACTTACGATATGACGAAAAGTGTAGTTGAATATTCCATGATAAATAGCGTCAATGATTGCATGTAATATAATTATTTAATCTGTTTAAAAATATTTTGAACAAGAACATAATTAAAAACTGTTTTAACGCGAAAAGTACATGAATTAATTCACAAATAAAACGCTAGATGGCACGTTGATGCATTCAGGGCTGTACATATGAGAGAATGCACAAAGGGGCTCAAAAAAATATTTTTTAATTCAACGTTCGTAAAATCATCTGTCAGTGACACTTGTCGACGTTAATTAATTAAATTATAATAATTGGAATACGCAGTGTTAACTATAGTAGAAGATTGTAATAATTGAACAATAGCAATATAAAATTTATTTTCCATTATTATTCGTCAACGTTGACTACTAAATATGGTTTATATATCGAGTGGTAATAATTATAACCTTTGATCTTATCAATGTTTCAATTCAGAGAAATGTATCAAATGACAACACGCATTTTCAGATGGAAAAATTCTGAATTCAGTACCATGGGGCTTTAAAAGAATCGCTGATTTCTTTTCAGCTATAATATTTATGGTGATAATGTTGTAAGTATTAAATAATAGAAATTTTTTAAATACTTCCTGGTGCATCATTGTACTTGTAATTATGCATAATTTTTACATCAGTTTCAAGACATTATTTGGTATGGATACAGATCAAAATAACGCTAGGAACGCAAGAGATTTTAGACCTGGCTTTGGGTAAGAATCATGTATATTTAAATTAATTGCAAATAATTTAATCAATTATTATTAAGGACAATTTTAAACTATATTTTTATTTCTCAGTCCACCTAAACCTCCAAGTCGAAGACTAGGTAGGCCAAGTAACCTCAACCATAATGTAGACATTCCCTTTGGTTGCAGTAGTTGTCAGATGTAAATTCATTATTGATGAAACGCGATTATGGATAATTTAAATATATCAAAGAATCTTTATCACAGAGAAAATTATATTCTTTATTTAAGTATTAAAATTGAAAACTATATATTATGAATAAATAATTAAATGTATTATTCTGTGTTATATTAAAAATATTACACATTATTACAAATAGAATACAAAGGTATTATAAGTTATAGTTAATAACAATAAAAATAAAAACTTTTGTCTGTATAATTATAGTATTAAGATTTAAACAGTTTTTATACACATTAAAAAAAAAAATAATATCACTTTCTGGATAGAATTTTTATTATATTAGATACACGATTTTATCCTATATTTAGATTTTGCACCAAGGAACTCAATTAATTAATAATCATTTAATTTTTGTAATCAAGCCAGCTGCAATCGTGGTACCTTCCACTCTTAACATTATCCTACCAAGCTGTTTAACGTCCTTATACAATTCTACGCAAACCGGAGTTTGTGTTACAATTTCAATAATCGCACTAGAGTTTTTAAGTAAACACCGTGGCTTCTTTTTTATCACATCTCCTGTACTTTTATGGAGCTGCGCTATCAATTTAGTTATTATGGCTGGTTGTACCAAAGATTGCTGATGCATTATTACTGGGAAGCCTTTCGTAATGGGCACGGCAATAGAAAATATAACTATGTGTGCCTGAAAACATGTTGTTACTGATACGGGATTTTGTGGATTACAAATGATATCACCAACTCCAACATTTTGTTGATCGATGCCGGATAAAGTCAAAGAGATATGATCACCGGCAAAGGCATTTACTATGGACATATCATCCGCTTGTAAACCTAAATAAGTAAATACATCATCTTAATTATTTCTATCATATCTAAATGAATAAGAAATTACTTTGAAAGTAGTCATTTCAATAGGAAAACCTTTAACGACTGCAACTTCATTCTGTGGCTGCACCAAAACTTTATCCCCTATGCACACCATACCTGTTTCTACATGCCCTGATACACAAAATCCAGAACCAGTACCTTTATATATATCATTTACAGAAAATCTTAATGGTTTATTAACTGGACGTTCTGGACATTTAAAATTATCAATAACATTTACTAATGTTGGTCCAGTATACCTGTAATCATTTGTTTTTTATTGTTTTCCATAAACCTATAAGATAATTGTTATACGATTATTATAATAAGATTGTATTACCAGTTGGAAAGACCTTCAGCTTTTGGCGAGGTAACTACATTTTCTCCTGAAAGTCCACTGCAAGGTACAAAAGTGATAGTTTCTCTGTATCCAGCTTGTTTTAGAAAAACACTCATTTTATCAACGATTTCATTGAATCTTTCTTTAGACCAATTCACTGTATCTAATTTATTAACTACAACAGCTAATTGAGACACACCTGAAAATACAACAATTTTAATAGGATATTAATAATTCTTTATAAGTTAAATAGAAGAAAAAGAAAAAGTTAAATAGATTAAAATATTCATTACCTAAAGAACGCAATAATAAAGCATGTTCCCTAGTCTGTCCACCACTGTCAAATCCAGTTTCAAATTCACCTCTGGTAGCATCAACTACCAACAAAGCAACGTCTGCTTGAGTGGCACCAGTAATCATATTTGGAATAAAATCCTTATGACCAGGTGCATCCAAAAGGGTAATACATTTATTGTCAGTTTCAAATTTAGAATGTCCAACGTCCATTGTAATTCCACGTTCCCTACAAAAAAAAATATATTTATTATTATTTTATGCAATAATTATATTCTAGGTAATTACAATTGTTTTATATCATTTATTTACCTTTCTTCTCCAGTTTCATCCAACACCCACGCATAAGCAAAAGACTGCTTACCAATTTTTTTACTCTCTTGTTGATACTTGTGAATCAGTCTTGATGAAACTTGTCCTAAATCACACAAAAGTCGCCCAAGCAAAGTACTTTTTCCAGCATCAACGTGCCCCACGACAACCAAGTGTAACTGTTCTTTATTATTGCTCCTTTTATCTTTATAAATGCGTAACGCATCACGTTTTTCTTCTACAGGCTTTGTCTTATAATCTAAATCAGGTGTAACATGACCAGACATGGGAGATTGACTTCTTAAAGAATCTGTTTCTGAAGAAACTATGTTCTTATCTTGTTTCGCTATTTCTTTACGTTTTACACTTGGACTATTCTGTTCTGAACATGGGCTTTGAGAACGTGGAGTTTGGATATGCGGACTCAAATGACCTGTATTTTCTGATCCACTCACAGTAAATCCTTTGACAATAGAACTTGTTCCAGCTGGCACAACTTTTATCATCGAAGATGAATTTATTTGTAATGTTGACTTTGATGGCAGTTTGTTACCTATCATAATTAACTTTCTAAATTAATACTTTGTTCAGAGCGCACTCACAAAAACAAAACAAATAAAAATATTAACATATATGTATATATATAATAGTAACATATATATATACATTTAAATATACTTATAAAAATAATATTTAAATTGATTGTCCTCTTTACTTAAAACTTTTGTCATTTTTACAAATCTCTTTACTTGATTTAAAGTTAGTCATATAAAAATAAAATAATAATAATAAAAATTACACATTGATTTCTGTTATTACTAAATCTCTGTAAATACCCGATCTTTAAAATAGCGCTACAATATACAATATTACAAAATATAAATAAATAAAAATGATAAAAAAAGAAGAATAAACTTCGATAAGTTTACAATATTCCAAAAGATGTTCATAGATCATAATTATTGCATATCATACATATTAATATTCTATATGATTAGTCAAATTGCTTAATGAGTATAAGGAGTAGAAAAATCAAATCTTTTGATAGATTTTAGATTTCTTTTTGCTTCAATATTAAGAGAAGGTTGTTTTAATTTCATTTTCCTAACTAAAATTTTGCCAACAGAAGAAGGAGTTTTCTTGGCATACGGTAATCTCGTATGTATTAAACTATTCAAACTTAAAGTACATTCTTGATTTGCCTCAGAAAAAGAATCAATAAGTAAGCTATTTTTCATCTTCTCTATGTATGGAAGAGTATCGTAACATTGATATGCCATTGGTTCTATTTGACGAATATTTTTTGAATCTATTAAATGAACTTCTTTTAATACAACAGTTAAATCAATCAAACCATTGTCGGGCGACGGTGTTCTAACGCATTCAACATTGCGTTCCAATAAACTAGTTAAATTTATTGACTTTCGTTCATTAAATTCGCTGTTAGAGTCAGATGTTAATTTAATATTAGAAATGTGTTTTCTAAGTGAATCAAACTGTACTTTATCCGCAATGAATTGAGCTTCATTTATGTTATTTTTAATATTTATTCTACTATCTGTATTAACTTCATTGCCCAATACCGAGGAGACTATATTATGTCCAGAATTATCTTTAGTTTTGTTAATATTCAATTTGGGTATAATGAAACTAGAATTTGAAAATGATTCTGTAATAGGTTTTGTTTTGTTTAAAGAAATATTTGATTTTTTGAAATGATTCGCAGTTAAATCAGCTAAAGAACCAAAACACTGCGGTTTGGAATTACACGAAAGTAATTGTTTAGAATTTGTATGACAAGCTATCATTTCCGCTAAAGATGTAAAATTGTTTTCTGAACTATTAGTTTGGCTTTTAACCGGAACAGTAATATTTGTAGAGGCAGAAGGTATTACAGATTTTTGTGACAATAAACAATTAGAAATGGCATAGGAAGAAGTAGAACCTTACCTTACCAGCAAAGAAAAACGCAACACATGAAACAAAAAGAAAATGACTTTCAGAGAAATATTAATCAACTAAATAAAAAAGCAGCTGAGTATCTAAAATGTACCTGGACAAGGATTCGGACACTCCTTACTACTTCTAGATTCTTCTATAAACATATATATTTTTATTCGCTAGTTGCAAACCTATTCGTGAATATAATTATATGCTTGTCAAAATAATAATTACTAGAATACGTACCAGCAATATTTTGTTCAGGTGTTATACTTAAAAGTTTGTCCAATGCAACTTCGGTATTAAAGCCTGAACGAATAATTTCTTCTTCGAGTTTAGATTCAGTTACGGAATCTCCTATTACATTTCTTATAGCTTCCATGCAAGATAATAACTTGACTTTTTCTATCTCGGTAAGATTTAATTTTTTAGCTTCATGTGACGATACTGAATTATCATCTTCGCTGTCCTCTACGATGTCTGGCTCCGTAATAAAAGATGCAATATTTTGTTGTTTACTTCGATCGAACAAGAACTGTTCAGCTAGAATTAGAATTAGTATGTAAGAGTCCATGTTAATTATGTCTTATTGGAAAAAAAAAACAAAAAAAAAAAACTAACGTACCACTGGGTGATACGCAATAATCATCTTCCACAGAATGCCCATAAACGTCATCATAACCATCATACTCTGAAAAAGAAACATTTGTCATTAATTTCATACTTGCTACTCTAATATATTAAATATAAATCATTTTCTCTTTCCCTTTCTCTAACAATAATATAAAATGAATAATAATATTTGTAATATTATGAAATAATAACCTACCATCTGTATAGTTCATACATCGAACGTCTCGATGACGAGACATTTTGTTTCTAAAAGTTCGATTTAAAAGGGAGAAATCACTTGCGTGACACTTCAATAATAATTACGAATAATCTATTATCACATATAGTAGACTAGACATAACAGAATTCACCATTCGTTAAAGGCATAAACTAAATAAATAAACTTTTGCGACATAATGAAAAATTAAATTCAGAAATGTTTGCTTCTGAATAATGTTAACAGTACTGCGTCACATCGGTTTACCCTCTAACGAATAACGATTTATCTCACATAATATTTTTATCGTACATCTGATTGGTTGTATCGAAAAAATCGTTTTTTAAATATAACAAGTTGAAATTTTAATTTTGGACACATACGCATAACGTTCAAATTAAATAGAAAGTGATTTTAAATAAATAAAAATAATTTCTTTTGTAAAGGTTAAGGCTGATTTTACTGAATTTCTATTAGATGATATTTGTCATTACTTGTACATAGTAGTTAATACTATCCAATGAAAATCCTTCGGAGTGTGTTGGAATCTTTGTTAGACACAATAAGAAGCTTATATATATATATATATCTATTTTCGTATCTATCTCTTGATTCATTTTCTCTTGTGCTTATTAACATGGTGTTATTGTTTACAATAGTAACGGTGAATGTTAAAACGGGTAAAAAAGCAACTTTGAATTAAAATTAACGAAATATATTAAAATGATTAATAGGCAAAATATTCGAATTTTCTGATAAAAATTAAAATAAGATAAAAAAACTTATTATGTTTGCTTGAAGTTTTAAAATAGTCGTGTATTCATCTAAATAATTTAAAAGACAAAGGAAAATAAATATAATATCTGTTATAATGAATTGTTCGGATTCTAAATTTCAAGATGTTTGTACAAGTGCATCTAATATAACAAATAATCTATCAGCAGAAGATGCTGCTGACGAGGATAATGAAAAAGAAAAAGAAAATTATTTAGAATTGTCAGATATGAATGAAATTTCATGTGAATCGGATGAAGAAGACAATTCCTATTACACGACGACTGTTTGGGATGTTCCTGATGTTGAAATTTGTTCACCTTCTCTGATCAATTCATCTCCACCATATAATGGAGAAATTCCTGGTATGATAGCCGATACTTTAGAAATATTAGAGGAAAATAATAATGATCCAAATAATAATTTAGACTTTAATGAAAATCATCCAGAATCCTCCAGTAATAGAAATGTCGATGAAGTAACCGATGATCATCAAATTGGTTATTCAAGAGCATTAACAAGTCCAATTCCAGGTTGTAGCAAAGATATTGGTAATATGGACAATTTTCGAGATAATAACGCTTATTCTAAAATTCGTAAAGATGCAGAATTAATATCAACTCTTTTGCCCGATATAGAGTTTAGATTGATATTGCAAACACTTAAAAAAAATCAATACGCTAAAAATTGTAATGAGCTTACACTGTGGGATTTATTACCGGATAATAGACCAATGCCACAAGTATTATCAAAAAGAAAATTAACAGATAATTTTTGTCAAATTGAATCTAAAAGATATTTATCTAACGAATTCAATGTTATACCTAGCGAAGTGCAAACTAATGTTAAAATAACTGAATCATTGAAAGATAAAAAAAACATAAACATAGAAGAATCCATTAATTGTAAGATAGAAGATGAGAAAACTGTAATTGGTGGAGAAAGTAAGTCAGTTACTTCTATTAGTAATAATAATCCAATAATACGCCCAGCTAAGTTAATAGTTCCTAAATGTGTACCTTCGTATGTACCTTCGCAATCAGTATGTACACCATCTCCTAACAGCGTTATTTTAGCTCCTGCTAAATTAACGTATATTAGTACATATGAAATAAATGATGTAAAGAAAAATAAATCTTTATCCTCTGAAAAGAATTTAACATCGACACAGTCTAACAGTAAAATAAATAATAATATATCCGAAACAACTGTTTTTCTCAATATAGAGGAAACCAAAAGTTGTTTGTTATCCGAGAACGAAAAGCATTTAAATTCTTTTAAAAATATGGATATAGTTAAAATGGATACTTCTGAACAATCTACAGAATTTGTGCCTTCAAACATTGATTTAAATCTACCAAGTACTAGTAAGGGAATAAAGAAGGCTTTTAAAATTGATGTGTCAACAATGAATACATTTCCCCAACAATCATTAAATATGTTAAAAACAGAAAATACTGAAGTATCAAAATCTGATGAATTTTCTTCAATAACAGAAATACTAAATATAAATGTAAAGGAAGAAGAATCAAAGCTTTCTCCTGACATGATTAAAATTTATTACAAACTTGTAGATATATTTTCTTCTGTGGATCCTAATTATATTGAATCGATATGCAAGTCCAATGATATTCAAAGAACCAGCATGGATGAATCTACAGTGCTAAATGAATTGATTAATCATTTACTTGTCTTAGGAGATAAGCATCCGTATATTGCTATAAAATCAGAATCACCTGAGCCGACATATGATGTAAATGAACAGTATGAAAATATATTAGGAATATTTCCAAATGCGGATCCAAATTATATAAGAGATGTCGTGGAATCTTTATATAATAAACCGGAGGAATTAAAAGTATTTGTACAATCTAAACTTGAAACGCATGATTATCCTACACGAGAAGAATATTTAACAAGGAGAAAAATAACTGAGCAACAAAAGCAATATACTACAGACTTTAAAATAGAGAAATTTTTAGAGATATTTCCAAATCCGTTTGCTCATTTTGAAGATCCAAACAGAAAATATTCATATAATACAATTGCATTTAAATTTCTCACACATTATTATAATCAAATAAAGGTATGCTTAATTATATAAAATAATATGAATTTTTTTTAACTATTGCAGTATGAATAATATAATTCTTTTTCACAGGCCAATACTATAACGCTTGTATATAGACGCAGAAATTATCATTTGAGTTTAACAGCAAAAGCATTGGATGAAATGGAACCTAATATGAAACTGAAACGTAAAGGTATATACTTATCACCACAAGACATTCCTCTTTTACAAGAAATTACATTTATACAACATAGATCGGAGATACAACAATATTTGTTGAAATTACAAAAAGAAGAGACTGAGGAATTTCTGAGACTTAAGGTTAATATTTTCATATAATAATGTATGTATTCTTTAATATAGGTTTATATAATAATATATATTTATAATTTTATAATAGAAAAATAAGAGTCTTCTGGAATGCCAATGTTGTTTCAACGATGAATGTATGCCATCTAAATGTTCTAGTTGTGACAATGGTCATATATTTTGTAATGACTGTATTATAAAAGGTACTAACCTAAAATTAGCAGAAAGTGAGACGCATATCTATTGCTTTGTAAACTGTACAAGTGAGTTTAGTCTATCGATTCTTCAAAACGTACTTCCTCCAACAACTTTTAGTATACTACTTCAAAAAAGACAAGAAGCAGAAATAAAAGCAGCTGGATTAGAAGGTTTGGTATCTTGTCCATTTTGTCACTTTGCATCTATTCCACCACCAGAAGATAAAGTTTTCAAATGCTTAAATCCAGATTGTATGAAAGAATCTTGTAGGTAAGTATAAGTTTCTAATCACATTATTTAAAGTTATAGGTATACTATAGATGTTAATCATATTCATTTAGATTAATTGTATTTATTTTTTTCTTTTAGATTATGTAAAAAACTAAATCACATACCATTGAATTGTGATGAGGTTATGTCTGAAAATGCGCAACATTATTTGGAAGAAAAAATGACAGAAGCGCTTATACATAAATGTTATAAATGTAATCTGCCTTTCTTTAAAGAAGAAGGATGCAATAAAATGGTTTGCGTATGCGGTGCAGAAATGTGTTATATTTGTGATAAACCAGTCAAAGGTTACAAACATTTTCGTGGCCAGGGTTCCACGGATACAGATCTGTAAATATTACTTCTTGATCTATCACTATAATATTTACATGGTGAAAAATATACGTAGATAACTCTATGTGTATTTCTATTTTTAGGTGTCCACTATGGAGCGACAATCATGTAATAAATGCAAAAGCTGTTTTACAAATAGCAGAGGAAACTGAGAAGGAAATAAAGCAAAGAAATCCTAACATCCAATTAGCTACAAATGCTCTTTTACCAAAATTACCCAGAAAAACCAAGGGTCCGCATGATGATATTCCTAATTCTGATGTTGTACCTGTATGTTATGTATACATTTTAAATCCATAATTGAAATCAAATTAATTGTTTAATTAAATCAATATTTCTATATTAATATTGTTTTTTCTTTTTTTTCAGGAACGTGCGCATAGAATCGCAATTGGAAGAATGATTCCATAAAATTGATCTGATCATTTATAAAATTTTAATATTTACAATTCAGATATTTAAAAGTAATTTTATACATATTATTTTATATTTCATACTTATGCAGATACTTTTGGTACAGCCAAAGATCCTTTAGTACATAAACAAAATACATTTCAACCACAGAAATTGATGATCGTATATATTGTTAAATATATGTACAAAAGTCAAAGAAAAAGCATATAATATTCTTTATACGATTTGTTACTAACTTTCTTCTCAAAAATTTTTATAAAATTACGAAAGTTTTATTAATATTTATAAGGAAAAAAGAAACAGCAAATAGTGAAGTATAAATATAAATTTAACCCTCTATATATAAACGTCACGTATCTCGTTGTTTTATTTCATCGCTAGAAATAATTGATTGATGTTCAATGAGACTCTAATGAAAAATTATTATGCTGCTAACCTTATGTCAATGAGACCTTCTCCTCCGAAATTCTTTACAATATGTGCTTTTTTAACATCTTCGGTAACCACATGAGCATTATGAGTATTAGTATTTTCTTGATTCCAGTTATCCTGATGTTTAGTTTCTACGGAATCTAGGGAAGAATGATCAGGTGGTTTCGTCGTTTGATCTTCTCTTTGATCATCTCTTTGATCTTCTGTTTTTGATGGTAATATTAACTGAAATTATCGTCAAATAAGAAATTATTTAATTCATTAAATTATCCGATCGATGTAAGCTAATTTATATTTCACGTAAAACAATGGATATTTTAATGAACATACCGTGGCACCTGTATTTACATTCTTACAAATCCATTCAGCATCGGTAATAAACTGATCTATATTAAAATTCACTTCTGGATAATTATGTTGGGGGTATCTAGAGAATCTATTTTGATGATAACCATTTCTAAATTGTATATGATCATGTAAGACTGGCAACAGAGGCCGTGAATTTCTGTGATGATTCCAAATATGAGCTTCTACACTTAGAGCAATTAGCGTTACGAGGATAAAAATCTTCATTTTCTGTAAAAAAAATAAAATCAATTGTTAGAAAATTATTAATGATTTTATTCATGGATAATAATTGGAAAAAATTATTATAATATTGATGAATAATATTTTGAATAAGTTTCATTTAGATTTCTTAGTTATTTTAACTTACTAAACATATACGTTAATATGCACAAGTATGTATTATATTTTGTCCAGTCGGTGTTTTCTGTAGCAGCTCTTCAAGAACGGTCAGCATATGACTGATAATAAGTATGGAAAAACACAATATATACGTCATAAAAACTTTCTTCAAGCAGGTTTATCAAGGTCAGTAGCTAATGGTTCTTTGGGTTATCTTTGTGAAAATTCCCAACTATTTCAGATAGCGTTTGAAATAATAAATCTATTTTATATATTAATATCTCTAAGAAAATAAAACTTCTAAAAAATCGCGTTCACATTTGATAAACTTTATTCGTATATGTGTAAAAGTATTAGCATAAGTCTTTTATATGTGCGCATTACTTGTCGAGAGTATTGTTCACATTAGACAATTCTATTAAAATAAATAATTAATTACTGTTACGGTGGTAAACTATGACACAACTATAAATATTAAATCATAAGAGAGAATATTTTCTTAGATCTTTTGAATAATTTTCATGCAAATATAAACTGATCGAATAATTAATTTGAGCACGATTAATATCTTTGAAATATGTAATTAAATTATGAAGTACAATTTTCAAGTTGTTCCTTCTTTTTCGAAATTTCTATAGACTCTTTAAAATTGTTACAATCATTTTTGTTAAAATAAAGCTCTTCCATCAAAAACGCTGCTGTTATAAGCATGGATACACCGGCAAATGTAAACCACATTATTAATTCTAATACAATCTGAAAATATATATATCGAAAGGTTCTTTTTCTTTCGTCTATTTCTAAAGAAACCAAAAAACAACATTTAAATACGAAATAATATGGTAATTTTACTTCAAGAATCACTTTGAAAATAATCACTGATCGTTCATTTCTGGAAGCCCATTGATACAAAACGTAAGGTAGTATAGCAATCATTAAAAATCCATCCAAAACTATACATATGATCTTGTTTCGTATCAATTGAAAGTATTTTGAGGCATTTTTTGTGCTTTAATCGAACGACGATTAGAAATTTATAAAAACAAATTTATGAACATTTACTACGTACCTTTTAATTTCTTTTTCCGTATAATTTTCAAGCGTAAAGGATTCGCAATTTTTATCCGCTATTTTATTACGATCAGAAAAACGATTAATTTTCATCGGCATGACAACTATTTTTCGACACATTGATTATTTCGAAAATCTAAATGTTCTTCGGAAATAATCTTAGCAGAATTAATACAAAAATTTACAACGTGAACAAGTCGTATCGTCGTCTTCATCGTTGTCCTAATTAACGTTTAATTTTTAGGACGCTTATCGTCTTACCATTGAAATATCAAAACCACAAACATTTTTTCAACCACAACAGAATATTTTATATCGCATGTCGATTAAATTCATTTGTCTATCGTATATATAGACAAATATATATATATATATATATGTTACGAATATATTTGAAGAATTTATTTCTTTTGTTTTCTTTCTTTTTTTTTTTTGATAACTTCTTTTATTCATTTGCACAATATAACTTTTCGCATTTAAACTATGCTAGAAAAAAGTCGTATTCTTATAAAACTAGTTTAGCAGTGTCTAATAGTTAATTTTTGGTAGAATGTATTAACGCGAATGCATATAAAAAAAAAATAACACTTTTAATGATCTAATCGGATCAATAAACAATATTACGACGGTCCCACAATTTGTAATCTCTCTGTGAAGATGGTGGACGATAGAAATCCTTTTGGTTCCTTAGCTGTTGTTTTCTTGCCACTTGTTGTCTGTAGACGAAAAGTGGTCTGAAGACTTTAGAATTTTGTGCCTCTAGATCGTTCGATTCGCCCTTATTTTCTTCAGAAATCGATCTTGGAATTCTTCCGAATGAATGTTCTTTTGGTTCTTCATTTTTTGCAATAACTAAGGGTGGTAATCTTTCAATTTCACCGTTGTTGTCTAATTGCTTTTTAGACATACCGTATGCTTCAACCTAAAATAATTAGAAAATCATTTTGTTTAGTTTTTTAAATATTTAACTACAGATACAAATTAATTTATAAAACAAATAACACATACAACTCGAGCATTTCGCGATCGATCATCGTTTATTTCGGATTCCACAAGATTAATTCTCTCGATCAAACCATTATCTTCAACATGTTTTCTCGGCAAACCATAAGCTCTAATTCCTGGACCATTCTCATTCGGTTCAACATTGATTTTTCGAACCCTTCCATCGAATCCAGTTTTACGATCAATATGAGGTCTTTTGATATTAGCTTGATCATTCCAATATCTTCTCAATAATCGTGTTTCTTCATTATCGTTGTCCGATCTATCATGGATTTTAGAATACGCGGAAGAACCGTTTAATAATTCTGCTGCACTCCATGTCAATATCGTTGTAGTATAAAATATTAAGACAAATTTCTGTAAAAATAACATTAATAATCAATATCTTCCAACATTATATTTGATACAAACGAAAGGAATTTAAAAATGAAGAAAAAACATTTTTTTTCTAATTAAAATTGCATTACTTACCATGATTAAGGATTATGGAAAGTTGTTTCTCCCTTATCTCTTATTGATTAATATAATTATGCGTTTATTTCCTTATCACTGGAGTTCTTTCGTCAAAGACTTTTAAACAACGTTTGAGAACAAATATCGAAAGATCGATGCTTATATATAATTGCGTTTGTGTGATCTTGAAGAATACGATTAAGCTATTCTCATAGCAACGTGTGTATGTTGGTATGCAGATTCAGTTACAGAGGGGGAATAGTTTCATTCCTGGTACAAATCTCACTGCTTTGAAAACCTTTCAGCTTCTTTGATGACTCACAAACTGGTAACACTTGCAGGAAAAGAAATAAAAAGAGATACAAAAAAAAAACACATGCGAGAGAGAGAGAGAGAGAGAGAGAGAGAGAGAGAAGACACGAATTCGAAAGAAAAAACTTGCAGGTGAAAGCGTTATTGAAATTTATATCGTTGACCCTTAAATTTATAAAAATCATCTAATAAAAAATGGCACACTTTTATCAAAATACGCAGATCTCTTCTTTCTTTTTCTCTTTCTACTTTTTCTATTTTTTTTTTGTTATTTATCTCTGATAGAAATCTAATTTACATGTTTGTCGTATTTGTAATTAAGGGTAAAGGGTTAATCGAACTTTATTGTTGGTTTACACCTGAAATATTGTGGTGCATAGTTCCGAGTAAACGTAAGTGTTAAATACCTATTCATCGATTTTTACACGTAAATGTAAAAGCACGTAGTAGATTCAGGAACAGAAGGCCCATTGTTCCAAGTTTACTCGTATCCTCGCTCATTCACATTTGGATGACCGAGAATACGTACAAATGACTAATCATTTTCCCTGCAGACATTAACGGCGCCACACTAACTAGATTTCTAATCATTCCATGATTGAAACATAATTATGCTTATGTTTTTTTTATTTATTTTCTTTTTTTATTTACCGGATACTTGGTTATTTAATTATCATTGAAATATAAGAAAAGGATTACAAGTATTATAATCGAAGACAATGGTATCATTAAAATAATAGGAAGAGAAAAGACGTCATTTTTTTTCAGCTTATTTCGATCACAAAATTTCCAAGCTCATGAATCATTTGAAAACTTAAGTAAGGGAAGAATCAAAGTATTTCTTTGAAAAGCGTGATCTAATTAGTGTTTCATTAAAGTATCTTTCCACAGAATGATTTTACGTTCAGATGTTCCGGGTTTTACGATTACATAAGTTTGGTAATGGAAATTAAATGATATTAAAACAATTTTTATTCGACAGTATAATAAGTAGATGAATGTTCACAACGTAAACATCCAATCTACTATCTCGAAATCCTCAGTATTTTTTTAATATACTAAACACTCTGTCACGCACAATTAGAACAGTATAAATATCGTTTAGAGTCTATGTAAATTAGTCGTGATTATTTATATTCGTCAATGACTAATCATTGGGATGACGTATTCAAAATGTTACAAAATATTAATCAAAAGTTTTGATGACATATCATCTTGAATGCGTCTCTATTTAAGAAAGAAAAAAGAAAAGAAAGAATGAGTGAGATAGAGATAAAACTGATACGAATGCAACGTTTGTTTACAACATTTCATTAAGATACAATTTATTAAAGTACTGTCATAAATTAGATAAAGATAATCAATAATAATAATATTATAAGTATGTCAATATTTGCAAGTATTATTATACATAACGATCGAATAATCAAATTTATTTCTCGTTAACAATTAATAATTAATAATAATCATAGGAGGAATATCGTGGCCTGTATCGACGTCTCGGATATGAATCATAATTTTGATAGGAATTGTACCCTCGATTGTTATAAGCATCGGATCTACGACGTGCTTCCTGTCGAAATCTAAACAACGGTCTAAAGACGATATCTTCCGCGGTGCTCATATCCTCCTCGTTATCCTTCGAAGGATTATTTTGATTATTTTTCGATTTCCAAAGATACGGCAACTGGACATCTCGTGGAACAAGAATGATCGTTGGTAAATCGTATCTCTCGGATTCTAAGTAATTTACATTTTGAATTTGTGAATCGTAGGTCGTAGGAGATGATCCGATCTATCATTGAAACAATTAAGATTATTGTAAATCAAAATAACTGAATGATTTTTCTTCGTATGTCCATTCCTGTTTTGTAATTATGTAAAAAATCTTGTTCAATCATTCATATTTTGTTACCTCAGGTTCACTCTCCATAGAACGTTTCCAAATTTCCGGATCAATACTCAAGGAAGATTCGTCTATGTACCGTTGCACATCTCTTTGAATTTCCTTTCGATTAGCTTCCAAATAATTCAATCGATCGTCCACAGTGGTCGGATTGATATTTGGTAACAGAGCTACGATCGAACTCTCGATCTTATCGTTTGTTTCTTTTGAAGGATCGAGTACCGCAACTACCGGTACAGGTATATCCTTATCGGCGATCTTTGATACATTTATCTTTTGCGTGACCGTACCTTCCGGTAATTCGACTTCAGGTTTGATACTTGGTAAAATCTCTTTCAATTTATTGAGATGATCATTTGGATCTTCTACGATATCGTTGGACAACGTAGTATCGTGGTTTACCAAGTACAAAGTACTTTCACTTTCCTAGAACATTGAATAATTTTGTTTAATATAAAGAATTACGTATGAAAGCAGATGCTTTTTCTGTTACTTCGAACATTCAAAGTGTATTCTCGGAATGAAATTCCTACATAAATTTTATAATGACCCATTCAGCTTTATATCGTCGTTTACCTCCAAGTTATACACACCTCATTTGCATCATCCTCGATCATTGGCTGATACGTCAATACTGACTCTTCCGGTAGTTCAGTTTCCGTTTGAAGATCTTCAGTGATATTTTTCCGTATGTCTTCCAAGTGCGACGTAGGTGCTACAAGAATTTGCTGTCTATGAGAGAGTACCTACAAAACAAAATGATTAATAATTAATAAAGTAATCATTAAAATATATATGATTTATTTAACTAACCTGATCAGGTGCATTAGCAGGGATAATGACTACGTGCTTCTTAACAACCAACCCTGATAAAGATCCATTACCGACTGCATATTGAACTGCATTCTTTACAACTGGGTCCTGAATAATGGCAGCCACTGTTTCATTCGTGGTTTGTGGGGTTGCAGGAAGCAGGCTCTCGACATCCTCGCTATTCAAAGGCTTGGTATAAACATTTCCTCCTCCAAGAATCAATGTCAGACCAGAAAAGAGAAGTGTCCATTTAAACTGAAGCATTAAAACGTAGCAATGAATAAACAAACGTTTTCTAATTACGAATACTCCAACCTCTCATCGATTTCAGAAATATTTTCTTGCATATTATTGTGCACTGATATTTAACATATGTCACTTTTATTTATTATAAAATATAATGTTTGTTTTTTTTTTAAGAATTTTGATCAAAGGATACTTAGAAACGCATTAATTATGATTTTAAAATGTGTCAAGTTTTCTGAAATCGATCGTTTTGCGAATAAATACTAAACAGGTAGAAAAGTCAACGTACCGAAGACAAGTACTTCATCTCGTAAAGAATTCGTTCGATTCTAAGTCGACGCCAAAAGTTGTGATACCTCTGAGTCTCTTATAACGGTCAGTTCGAGTTTTATAGAAGGTACCGAAACAATTATCGCCAGTTAGCTAAGTGACGTGTGTACTGTTTGTTCTTGCGATCCATCGATGATCTACCTTTTGATACGCAATAAAAATCACTTCCTGAACATCTACTTTGCTACAAAATATTCTATATTTTTATTTGAACATTTCGAACATTCTCCTTAGTATTAAAAAGTATATCGTAGATTGTTATTAATCCTTAGAGCTTATTAATATATATTCGTGACTTTGAAAACAATCAATTTTCTAAACTTCTAACGATCCAATTGTCAATTATTACCACATCGACAAAATTAGCAAGTTCGCGTTATTCAAGATCATCTTAATTGCTTCTTGATTAAACTAACTTACTGTTTTGTTCCGTAGGTATTATTTTTTTTTTTTTTATTTCAAGAAAAACGTGAACTTTGTAAACTCTATGTCGAACGTTTATTCTTCGAACATACTCGAACATAAATAACGCTTCGTCACTTAGCGCACGGTTAACGACGCCAACCAAAAGCTTCAAATGTTTAGCAATCAATTTAAGTAAAGAATTCTACACTCTCGAGTATAAAAGCAAGCAAGTTATCGGAGAAACGTGTTAGTCGATACAAATAACTGTACTGAATACGAATAGATAGAAAGATCATTCAAAATGACTGGGATTATTCTTGCCATTAGTCTTCTATTCTTGTTGCATATCAATAATTGCGTTGGAGGCCAAGATTTGATAGCAAGGACATCGACAATTTCAAGTTCCGTCGTTGCTAAAACTGAAAATACAACGACAATAGAAACAAGTGGAAAGGACGATGACACCGTTGATTCCTTTCAGGATATTCTCTTTGATCCAAGTTTGATAGTTGCTCGTTTGAATCGTGACGTCAGTAATAAAAGATCAACCTGGTCGAGAGATTTGAGCAACGTCGAAGAAGATCTTAAAATGGAGGAAGATAGAAGTTATTCTGCACCTTATTGGTATCGACGTCAAGACTGGCAGGTAGATGAACAGAAACCAATTTATAAACAAGAATCATATCGCAGGTTTCTAAAATATCCGATATTTTCTGGAAGATAACAATTTTGTTAACGACTAATATTCTATAAGTTTAATTCTTACATTTGTTCTTTAATGGAATGTATTTATGTATGGAATAGATCAAGATAAAATGTATATTTGATTATATAAAAGAATAATATCTCTCTTTATTCTGAAATATTTTTTTATTAAACTAACTTATATTTAATAACATAATCTTATCACTATATAGTCATAAATACTCGAATCTTTCAAAAATATGACTGCAAGACTTATAACACTGAAATTATCCTAACTTTGGTATCAGCTTCTTATCTTCTAAATATTAAATCCTTACAATTGTAATCTTTTTTTTTTTTTTTGTAAGAAACATTTTCATGATTATTCTCAGTCGATATTTCTTTCCATCCATCTCGTTGAACACTTCACGAAATGAAACTTTAATAATCCTCGTTATCTACCAACACTCGTAAAAACAGAATGATCATTCGACAATCCTCGAATATTTGTCTTCTATATTTGATAATAAATTATTGTTTTGGTCGCAGAACTCATTTCAATCGTTCCTTGTCTTGTTCATTCTTTGGTAAGCCATTTGATTGAAGAAGCTACAGCTCTGAATCAAATTTTGTCTTTCGTTTCGTGTGAAATTCATGATCTAAATAAATCAGATCTATTTGAATCGTGTCCTCGTCATTTCAGCTGATATATCAGCCAATCTCTTTAGCACAAATGTTTCAGATAATTCAATTCAAAAACGATTTCCACGACGAGTAGCTTCCCTTAGACGTTGCCTGTAAGCGAGTTGTTGACGATAAACAAAAAGAGGACGAAGAATGTTGGTACCAGCTGCAGTCTCGAGATCATCCTTCGTAGATTCTTCGATCACGTCACGTTTCTCGATTTTCCTTGAACCCGAATCAATGATTTCCTTTGATAACAAGTTTTCTGGATCGTTTAAGTAACCATCGAGAACGAGAAGAACCGATGGTACAATCACCTCTTCTGTTCCTTCATCGTTAAGGAACACATCAGAATTTGTCTCCTGATCGAGAATAGTTGGAACAACGATTACTGGTTGGATGATCGATGCTCTATTGATCGGAGACCCGTAGCAGTAGCTGCAGCTAACAGCGAGGAAGAATATAAATACGAAAACCTTGGTAGCAACCTGGAAATATAAAATAGACAAATAACCAAATGGTTTCTCAATTCTGTCACATTTTTTCAAAGAGAATACTCCAATTCTTTTTTTACAATTTATTTTCTTCTTTTTTCAAAACGAATGTTTGTTCTTACCATTTTCGATGAATTCCAATGATCTTCTATTTTCTCTCAAACTTTCGTAATTTTTATCGATAGTTTCAGTAGTAGATCCGTCGTACTAGCTTCACGATAAGTTTATGAGAAAAAAGAAGAGCTATTGAGTATTTATATGTAACAATGACGTCAAAGGAGGGCACGCTAATCGTACAATGACGCTCGACAAAAGCGATAATTAACCTGGTAAACCAAAATGATCCATCTTTGGATTTGTGTAATACGTCAAGACGTTGTCATAATATGTTTTCTAATGTACAAGCTTATAAATTCAACCTCCTTGCATATTCGTTATCCACTTTTTCTTAGACCTTTGAGTTATTTCTATATCGTATTCATCTACTCGTGATTGCCAATGCCAATTTATTCGATCATTGAGTTTGTTGGTACAATGACGTGTGTCAACATATATATATATGTGTGTGTGGTAACGTTATTAATATAATATTATGTTCTATGTTTAAAAACATTGTTACTGTGCTAAGAATAGCACATGCGCTTCCCATAACTACTAATTTAACTTGCCTAATGTCTCTTGAACAAATTACAAGGACTAGAATCTAGGATTAATCCTTTCGTTAGAACAGGCGTGGCTTTGCCACGAATATCGTGGCATGAACTATTTATATAACAAACTAAGAGAAAATCGGAAAAACTTGAAGAACATACTTTGTTTACGTATACGTTGTGTTAGAATATGCACGCGTTGAGTCAGATTCTTTATTTGATTTGATTCTTGAAACTATCGTGACAACGTTTCATTAGAATATTCATTAGCGAATTTAATCAAATTTGAAGGAAATCGTTTTTAAGGATGATGATCTATAAATAAAATGTCATTGGAAATCACATAGGTAAAGTTTTCATATCTTTCAATCTTTCACAATTTTTATTCTCATTTTATAATCTATTTTTTGTTGTTCCTTTAACATTTTTTAATGAAAGAAAACATGGACGTTTCTTAACAATACAAATATCGTTCGCTTTGCTACATTTCGAATTTTATTTTTATAAACATATTATAATATCGTAAATTCCATCGTCGAATCCAGTAATGGTTGCTAATCATCTGATTTTACCACCATCCCCAACCTCTGCCACCCCATCCTCTTCCGTACCACGGGCCACCCCAGCCTCTGCCACCCCAACCCCATCCTTTCCCGTACCATCCGCCACCCCAGCCATATCTCCATGGTCTTGCGTATCTGCAATAATATATAATTAATAATTTCATCAGTAATACACATTTCTCTATCCCTTTTTTTTCCTTTTAACAAAATAATTTCAAAGTATACACGTAGAATTATTTTTGTACAATATTATAATGATCGTATTTAAAAAAAAATGGTACCTTTTTCGAATAAAATTCAATGGAAATGTATTTGAATATAGTAAACTCGTCACGTGAAATGCAACTGTTTACTTCGATGTTAGTATGCCAGACAAATCACGTAAATTCAGATAACAAATGTCGCATACGAAAACATTCGCGTATCCCACAACACATGTAAAATAGTTTTGTATATTAAAAATTAAATGAGATTTTTCTTTTTCGTAAGAAAGGATTTTTATTAAGAACATTATATATTTTGATAAAACTCACCCCCAATAGCTAGCGTCAGCTTCTAAATCATTCGGTTCTATTCTCTCTTCTATGTTACTCGATATGTTCTCGGTTACTTGGTCTGGCACCGGCACGGACACCACGAAGGCTATCGCCAACAAAAGCAACACCTGAAACCAATCATCGTAGTGCGAAGGATTAGTACCAGTCAACTAATTAGTTAACATACTCTTTGGTCATTAGCGACAAAATGCCTTCGAAATCTTTATACAAAAAATAAAACAAAAAATTAATACTTCAGGAAATTAATTTCCCCCCCCCCCCAAAAAAAAATAAAGTAAAATAAAATACTTTGAAGATATTTAGAAGAAATCACTTACGAAATGCAGTGGACGCAACATGTTGAAAACTGATGTCCAGTTTGGTTTCCTCAGGCTTTATATACCTAGTATATGTTCTCTTCGAGACTTCCCCAACATTTATCCTGTTGCATTCGTGTATACAATGCATCTGTATCTTTTTGTATATGTGATATACATACAGGAGCGAAAGGAAGCTACTATTTTGCATGGAGAAATACTTATCAAAATGCCGAATACGTATCCATTTTTCCCCTATAAGGATACACGCGATTGTAAAACTGATTAACGTACCTACACAATTTTTAAATTGATCTACGTAGCTGAAAAATTTCACAAATTTTCATTTAGAAATTTACTTTCAATTATATATTTAATTTTTTATTCTTTATTTTTTTATTTATCATCTCTATCTTCTTTTTTTGAAAGAAATTCTTGCTTGCATCATGAAAGAATATTAATAAATTATTTATAGAAAGTGATCATTGCACGATTTAATCAAAATTTTATTTCTAGATATCTAGAACGCCCTATAAAATTATTTATGTACAAAGTTATAATTCATAAAAGAGAACTATTCCATTTTTAATTAAAGTTTTGTGTCTTACAAGATTCGAAGGGGAAAACCCGAGATGCGTATTGCACACATATCTATATACATATATATATATATATATATATAGCTTCTTTTTACGTCGTAAAAATGTTTTCATCGATATACATATATACGACGAATATCCTCGACCTACGGTGTTAATCGAGTCGTGAAAAATGTGTAAACACGCGAAAGATGACGTGGGTCTGCCTCGAGAAAAGATGTATCTTCGTTGTTTATCCAACCTATGTGAGTAAGCTCCTCAGGTTAGAAGGTGGAGAATCGTTGACCGTATCACTCTAACCAAGGTCAAGTGTTTTACTACTTTCAAAACTAGCTAAGAATAATTTCCTTTATCCTGCATCCTTTTGTTCGTCTGACTCTTTATTTTTCTGCTGACATTTATTTTCATTCTTCTCAATTTCTACTTTTTTTATATTTTCTTTTTATTTTTAGTATTAAAAACATGCTTTTGACTTAAATCATTTTACAAACTATTTTATTTTTATTTGTAGTTAGCAACAAGTTTCTGTAATTTTTATTTATTTCATTTGGCAGAATAGGTGAATACTTTTAGGATTTCATTTTTTAAATTTTAAATTATCGGTGTTATCGACCGAACGCTCGATTGGTAAGTGCTTGTTGCTGCCATCTTTCAGTAGAAATTTGAAACTAATTACTCGCTGAAAATCTGCTTTACCATAATTACAGTAACTTGTCAAAACTGACCTTAACCAAACTGGATGCATTGTTCATGTATGTAATGCAATTCCGTAGAAATCTATTACAACATGCCGAAACATATAGAAATCGGTAATCTATTTATTACATTATCTACTTTTTACTAAATCAATTTATTATAAACATGTACTTAATTACTATATATTATTTTTAGGTATTATATCTAATAATTTGAGGCACGAAGAAACAATAATTCAGATAACTGAGGCATTAGATAATTTAGATTCTGCTGTATTATATATATTTAATTGCATAGAAAAGAGGCTTACTGAAAATTCTCAAAGGTATCTTTCACCCATTTGTTTTTGGTATCAACAAATTTTTGTTATATTTAATTTATTTCATTCGATACTATTTACTTTTTACAGACTTTCAGATATAAGAAATAGAGCTATAAAATTGGAAAATCAATTGCACTACTTACAATCTAATTTAAATTTAAAGGCTATCAAAATATATTCTGCTGCTAAATATCCTGCTAATCATACATACAATGAATATAAAATGGCTATACCGTTGCAACGTGATAATATTAATAATACAGCAAATATTCACAAGTATTCAATACCACCAAAGGGCAGGCACGAAACACATCTATCTACTAACATTAATACCGAAGACAGTCAGTATGCAATGAATGTCAATCTACAGGAAAAATTACAGTTTTATTACGTTAGATATAAAAATAAGGAACGGACAGAAAACGATATGAATGCTCGTCAATATGTACCATCTTTACCTTCGTCTATTAGTGCACTTCTACTATTCGATAATGTAAATAATACGTATAGAAAAGCTTTATCATCTAATAAGTCTAATGATAAAAAACAAATAGAAGATGCACCCGATTCAATCATACATTCGTGGCATTCGTCAGAAATGGATTTGCCATCTGGTTATCTTTATACGCCAGTCCTTGGAGAGGTAATTGCATATTTAAATCTATATAGCTTTATTAATCTAAAAACATTCTAATCTATTTATATATATATATATATATATATATANTATATATATATATATATATATATATATATTTCCAGGTTCCACAAATAAATGTACCACTCATGCTACCAGATTTACCAGGAATTGTAGATAATGAAAAATTCGATTTAGACTTGAATTCACAAAGTCCTATTGCTCCATCTTCTGCAGTTGTTACTCCTACGGTTCGATTAGATTTGCCATCTTTAATTGAAGAAACTGGACCAGAAAATACAAACGAATCTAATGTTTCTAATCTACCTAATTTGACTGTGAACAATTCATCAGCCAACATTGAATCTAAGTCATCAACAGTAAATGCAACTATTACTTCATCAGGAAATATTAATAATGCTGGATCAAATGAAACGAACTCTAAGACGATACAACCACCATTGGGTATGCCACCACCACCACCTCCGCCACCACCGCCTCCTCCTCCTCCACCACCTCCGCCTCCGCCACCAACTTCACCATCTACATCAACAGACAAACCATCTAAAGATGAAAGTTTGCAAAAGCAGAATGAAAAAAGATCCACTCAAACTAATAAAAAAAGTATGAGTACAGATGACCGATCAGATTTGATGGCAGCGATACGTGATGCAGGTGGAATTGGAAGAGCAAAATTGAGGCACACAGTGCCGATTGATAAGAAGGAAAATCGTTGGTCATCAGCTTCGGTAGGTGGAGACCTAATGGCAGATCTTCATGCTAAATTAGCTTTAAGAAGAAAAGGTATTGCGGGCTCTGCTACAGGCGCATTAGAGAGAATGTCTAGTTCAATACCACCACCACCACCTAAGTCGAGTGAACACTACGCTTCTGATAGAAATTCTGCTACAAGCGAATATGATTCTCAAGCTGACACCGATGACTGGGAAGAGTAATTAAATGGTATAATTATATATTGAAAAATATTACATAGATAATATGAAATTTGACAGAATTACATGGAGAGAATAATCTCTTTTATGTCTCTTATTTTATTGAACATTTTAAAATCGTATGATATATATTGTAGTAAATACTTTAATTGTATATATTGTAAACAATTAACAATCATCTTAATATATATGAAATAAACAAAATAGAGCTTTATAATATTAAATTTAATTAAAAATCTGTGTATATAAAGGTATATATACACACATATGAAACTAAGCAGTACAATGCATTACTATTTTAAATAACAAAGTTTATAAATATCACTTTGTACTATATGTGTCTTTTCTATAAAAATAGATTATAATATCTAAAACCTAAATACTTCTGCTGTATTACAAAGCATATATCTTTCTTTTCATTATACTTTTAAATAATTGATATGTTTACTTTATTAATATATATATCAAAGATTATGTTATACTCTATTTCTTGTTTCAAATATACATTTTTTTTTTTATATATAAAAATGAATTTAACTTTTTTACTGTTTACTCAAAAAATATAGGATTAATATTTTGTTACCTTATGATATATATATATATATATATATATGGCAGTGTTATACATTTAGATTTATATCCTTAATATTATCTCATTGATATGTTATGTTTCTTTTATAAACTATGATAAAAGATATTTTGTTGTTAAATGGTAATATATATCTCTTGAAAGACATTATAAACATTTAATATAAAAAAACATAGTTTTAAAAGTGTAACATTTCAATTAAACAATAAACTTAAAAGTTACACTATTATAGTAACAATAATCGTTCAACAAATAAGACAAATGTAATTTGTTAACTTTGTTGGTACTGCTTATGAGATTGTATAATTTTATATATAAAAAATATCAATTGAATCTTATAAATTGGGTGCCACCCAATTTAAAACATTCATAGCTGCTTCAAATCCTAGAAAGCATGCCGCATTTGCGGGAAAAGCACGTAACATAACGGGTGTACACCCTTTATAAAGTGCTCTCGGTCCTTCCTCTTTTAACAAACGAGCGAATACCTCGCGAATACCTTTTGTATATGTGCCTTCGGGTGCTATAAAATTGTTAATTGATACAATCTCAAATTGATTTTATATAAATTTATAAATAAAATTATTAAAAATGATCAAAAATATAGTTTATTCAAAAATGCATACCTGCTTGCAATCGACTTTTTAAAACATCTGGTGGAATACCAACTACCCAATTGGCAACACCGGCAAAACCACCTGCTAATATCGTTGATAGTAAACCTAATTTTCCTCCCTCCGGTGTCAACCACCTTTGTAAAGTTTCATATGTCATAAAATACATTCCGCTTGCAGGAACATCTGTAATAATATTAGTAATTAAAATATATTGATTAGAGGTTTCAAAATATTTCTCCTAATCAGAAACAGTCCGTAAATATTACATATAATTAATAACAGTGGATAATGTATGTGGGTGGATAGATAGAACGCATCCTGTTTGATAGGAGGTATCGAGGAAGATAGATAACAGTTTACAAATTTCAGTTTCCTTTGGAACAGCGGACTGTTACTTGGTTTAGAAATAGTGCTGCATTGACAAATTTTTATAATTATGGCAATTGCGTTACCTTACTTCTTCATTTTCTTTTGGGTACATAATTCTATATAATTGGTACAAAATTAGAAATTTTAGTATAACTTAACTTTTATTCAAATCTAAGAAATATTTAAGTATTCAATTTGTTAATCCTCAAGCTTATAACATTTCAATTAATTAGAAACATCCTTGTTATTATTTTAATCAAAATTATTCCTGTATAACTAATAATATATAAGTGTTATTAATTATTCAGATACAGTGCATGGGACAAATAATAGATATCGGTGATATTTGGGAGATGCAATGTCCTCAAGGATGTTCTTGTGAAATACAAAAATTTTCTGATCTGCCACTACATCAATGGACTATACCAAGAAAGAGGAGTAATGTAAGAAGCAAAACTGTGAAATGTTTTTCTTTCTTCATTAATAAATTTCTGTTTAACAGACCCCAACAGTGGATGATACTGATTATAGCTTTTATAATAATCACATAGGTGATGAATTGTTAAAAGTTGCAACGTGTGTAGTAGCAGAGGAACATGAAAAACTTTTGAACATGCTTCCTTCAGATATACAGGTAATAATTGATCAAATATTGAATTAACAATTACATAATATAATGATAAAAGCAAAAATGAATAAACTAAAATATTTCTTTATAATTACAGGTTCTCACTATACTTAGGTCAGGTAGAGGAGATGCAGAAATTTTTTTAAAAGCAACAACATTTCAACGTTTCACTGAATTACTGTCTCTAACTATTGAGGGTATAGACTATGATAACCCTTCTGTAAACGATGTAAATATAGATGAATCCAAAGGTGGTATAGTTTTAGCACGCGATGCTTTATTTCCACTGGGAATGACATTACTGTATTTAAACTTAGAACGTGTGAGATTAACAAGCCTTAATACAACTAGTAAAAATAAAGCAAATCTTGTGATCAAACCAATGAATTTACCTAACGATGAAAAACTTTATAATGAGCAAGTAGTTACAAGTGCTACTAATGAACATAAAGGACATAGATTAATTTTTCTGAGTCAACAAAATAGTGGAGAAAGTGACGATAAAGAAATACTTCCATATGACATTTACAAACAAGAAATGGATGGTTACAGAGAAAATGCTGGCCTTTTTACTGGACTCCGTGCTCTTACACATTTGAGGGTATACGAATGTGCACTTAAAGATATATCTTGGCACATGTTCGATGGCCTTGATAGTCTTCTCTATCTTTCATTGGAAAAAAATAATCTCAGATTTATCCCAGAATTTTGTTTTTATGGAACACCAAATCTAAAATTATTATCCTTAGCAAGTAATCAATTGCTAACGTTAAAAAGCGTAGATTTGGCAGGTTTGTTGATGTTGGAACAATTAGATTTAACTGGAAATAATCTAACATTTTTATCTGAATTATCTTTTCCTCCATTCCCTGCACTTACAATGGCTGATTTTGGGGAAAATCCAATGGATTCTGTATTTCCAAGGTAACTTTCATTTCTAGATATATATGTATATATGTATAAATAATTAGATAATTTATTATAATAAAAGCATTTTTTTCAGTACATTTGAAATTATGAACACAACAAAACAGTTATACCTTGGAGGCACAGATTCAAAATTAAAATTGCAAAGAAATTCTCTATTGGGATTACTGCAATTGCAAATATTACATTTGTATAACGTAGAAATACCATTGTTAGAACGTTTCATCTTACAAGGAATGCCATCGTTAACATATTTAAAAATACGTGGAAATGTCACAAATGTCGATTTTGATGCATTTTCAGATCTTGGAAAATTGATAGATTTAGATTTAAGTTACTGTCACATTCAGCACATATCTATGGATGCATTTTATGGTTTAGAAAAAGTTAAACTTATAGATTTATCTAATAACGATTTGGAATATATACCACCTGGATTATTCAGTACGCAATATCAAAAAGAATTGAAGGAAATTATTCTTACGAAAAATAAATTGACTACATTACCATGGGATTTTTTTAAAATCTTATGGACAGTGAATAAACCATCTCAGGTACAAAATATCAAACTGGATGGTAATCCATGGGATTGTACATGTGCTATGGCTACTTGGAATCCACATTTGGTATGTAAAAATCAAACAATATTATTTATCGAGTTAAACTATTTCTAACATATAATTCGTCTATTTAACAGGTGAATAGAATTAGAGAAACAGCACCACGTTGTTTCACACCTAAGAGACTACAAAATTGGGGAGTTTTCCATGCTCTACGTAAGGGTGGTTTGCAATGTAAAAAATTAAAGCGAAGGCGTATACTCGGAATGCCAAAAGTATTAAATTATGAAAATGACAATGCTATAAGTTAGCAAATTCTATCTTACTTGCATTTAATTTATGGTAAACATTCTAAATTTGGATGAACTAAAAAAAGTACATCGAATATGATATTTAATATCTACTTTAACAATTGTTTGATTAAAACTTTTTTATAAAAATGTGTGATACACATATCTGCTAAAGCAGTTATATACGCTGTACAAATATAATTAATGTAATTTATTATATTAACAAACCTCTCAAAAGGGTAGCACATGTACCCTTATAAATACTCCTAAGGCCTCCCTCTCGATAAAGTTGTTTGGCGCAATCAAGGGGTCCTTTATATTTCTTCTCAGCATCTGCATGTTGTATTTGTAAAAGACACTTTATCCGTTCACCTGGTGCCATAATAACAGTTGTAAATATTCCACTAAATGCACCAGCATAAAATAATTGTGGTATGGTGAGCTTATCGTCTGGACCCTTCTGTTGTAATTTTTTTCCAACACCATAACCCAAAAAACTCATAGCAAATATAGGTGCCACTCCAAGTAATGGTGCTCCCATACCTAAGTAATTGTTAAGTTATACCTGTTTAAAGGGGGTATGTAGATATGTATACAACATGTGTATAAAACACTATTATATCTAATAATAATGTTAATAATATTAAAAATGCACATACCCTTGTATAGACCACGTATTCCTTCTTTTGTTACAGTTTTTTTAGCGCAATCAAATGTACCTGTGTAAAGAGGTTTTTCATTTGGCCCAGCAAGAGGCATAGTTTGAAGACGTACCTGAAAAATGATAAATAATATAAGTACTTGAATCATATTATTCAAGTAAATAACTATAATAAAAAAAAAGTATATATGCATAATACTTATAAAAGAAGAAAAAATAATTAATTCATTCATTTGATATGGTTAAAATTGTAATCTTACTTTAATAGTATCAAGAGGATGGCCAGCAACTACTGTACATATTCCACCAAATCCTCCACTGAGGAAATATTTAACAGGACTTACAGTTTCAGACCCCATAATTAAAAATTTAAATTAAAATTATATTAAAAATAAATTTAATTGTTTTTGAACTTTATTCTACACAGTGCCTAAGTCCAAGGTCCAATCAACAGTCATTGACAATTTAAATTAGTTCAAAGATAATCTTTGATAAACAGACCGCATTTTAATTCGTCAAACTACCGGTAGGTGTACTAGAAATAAATTTTGCCACCAGAGAACGCTTTTGTAGCAACGTTAGGTTATGCCCTGACGATTCCTTTCCATTTCTAGTTCAGCATCTCTGCAACAAGAAGGAAAGTTCTCCGAGGATCAGTTTTTTTCTTTTATATTTATATAATTATATATTTCTAAAAGCATCGATATTTTATTAATTAAATATTATTACAAATATAACAAATATTATTATTAACAAACCGCGAATTTTGTTTTCTTTCAAAAAGTAGTTAAAATGAATAGTTGCATTTCGACCACGTGTTCAATCCTAATATCGATGCATATGCAATTCTTAATCGTTAAACATCAAGATTTATATAAATTCTATCATTATGTACGTAAGCTAAATTTTTTATATAATTTAATAATTTAAAAATATTAATAATATTCTAGTGATGACCTCATACCAATCATGATTTTGATGATTATTAATTACATGCACTACCAACTGAGATATTCTGTTTTATGCATTTTCGTTAGCAATACAGATAGAAATTTATTAATTAAATTTTATTATTTTTATTCTTTCAGAATACCTCCTGAAAAAAGGCAGCCGCATGTTTACAGGTAAGTTTTATAAAAAAAAAAAAATGTTCCATATACTATTTCATTAGAAGTAACTACAGTAACTACATATGATGATTTTTCCACCTTTCATGATTTCTGATTATATCTTTACATGCACTACCAACTGAATTATTTTCTAATTGCTTTTAATATGCTATGTGATTTTACAAAGATAATTTATATATGTATTATTTCTATTTTAGGGTAATGAATGTTCACTGCTTGCTTTGAACAAAGATGCAGTAACACTGGAAATCTGAACAAAATTTTATCAAAGATTTCAAAATGATGACTTTGATCTTTTTGATAGAGAATGTTCTGGAGAGCTGAGAAAATTTGAAAGCGAAAAAATCAACAAAAAGAATTCGGCAGTTACCTGAAACGTGGGCTGAAGTCATTGAAAAAAATTAAGATTATTTCGAAAAATAATAGATGTATGATTACTTTTAGAAATAAATACTAAAATTTGTTTTAAAATGGCACTAAATTAATGTCTACACCTAATACTTAAATAGTTATAAAAATTTGTTTTATAAAGAATACATATAACATGATTTTGAATACTCGCTACAAAGAAATATTCTTATTTTAAAATTATTGGTTGCATACATTTAAACACTTGTTCAAGTAGAAGCTCAAAATATAAACTATACTTTTACTTAATTAATTTATTTAATCAGATAAACTTATTTACTTGAACTATATGAAACATTAATTAAAAATCTGATACCAGAAATTCTTTTCAAGTAATAATAATAAAATATCACATTATTCTTAAAAATACTTTTTCTATATTATTTATTAGATTATCTTTTTTAAATGTTCATTTTATATTTATTGTAGGGTTTAAAGATTTTATTATTTAGGCCAGTGATATGTAAAAATACATATATTATCTATGTACAATATTTTATAATATTGGTGCAGCAACCAAGATATACATATATTATACATGTGTATTATTATTATCAATAATTCATAATAATTAATAATCCATAAAGAATATCTTTTCTAATTAAATTTGTAATGCATAAGAAATAATGGAACTTATATATTACAAGTCCTATTTGTTTTCATTTATATGATGCTATTAATACATTGTACTTTTTTGTTATGTATCCAACTTATAAGAAAATTAATATTATTTTTCATAAAGCCATTATATTAATATTAAAAATTTCCAAAAAAATTCAAATAGAATTTGATTGTTTAATATGTAACAAAGCAAGACAGATCTGTGGCATTCACAGCAAATAACAATTCAGAAAAGTTGAAAATTGCTATAATCGTTTTTTAATCATCTCTTTTGCATAGCACAAATCAGATTATTGAAATAATTATAAGTAACGATTAATTATTATCGAATACAGAATTGTGTACTGGACAGAGAGATCGCGAAACATGAAGATAAAGTTTTTTTATCGTTATTTACTAACGAAATAGATATATTTATTATATTTTGATATTTAAATATTTATTTCATGCTAGTATTCCTTAATTTAAAAATGCGAAAATATACATCAGAATGAAAAGTTCCAACATTAACAGAATCTTCTATAACATGTCAAGTGCATAAAAGTATTTTGTAATGCATAATTTAAAAATATTATCTCTATCCTGTGTTCTTATAACGTAATAATTTTATATATATATTTATATTTATACTGTTGTGTACACAGAAATTGTAAAGGCACTCCAGATTATATTACATTTATATTTTACATATATATCAATCAGTAGTATTTTTCCGCTTGTAGTTTCAGAGGAGGAGAAGAAAAAAAAAAAGAAGAGACAGAATAAATTTTATGGTAGATTCTGACTCTTTCAAATACATACTATAATTTTTTCGCATTATAGGATATTTATTTCTCTCTTATTTTCTTTTTGCTTTAAAAAAAAAAAAAAAGATGTAATAAAAAATGGATCAATCGTAATATTTTAAAAATAAAAGCAATATATAATTGTCAAAAATAATATTGTCAATAAAAAAATAATTTAAAAAAAAATTAAAAGGCTATAATATAGCTTTTTCGAATACTCATTCGAATAAGTATTAAATTTAATAATTACTATAAATATTAAATTAATTGCTTTATATAATTAAATAATTAGTGCAAATGAGGATTTAAAATAATGCAGTATCTCTATTTGATATATATTAAAATATATTTATAGGATTTGCATCCAAAAGATATTTAGCAAAAGAAAAAAGAAAAGAATTGTGTAAGTGACTAAATCATAATCATCATAAATTGTCTATTTATAAAATCATCGTATTATTCTCTCTGCAATATCTTGCGATCAACTATTTTATAATGTACAAATATGGAAGATCGCAGTGATGCTACAATAATACATCCATTTATGTCAAAATACCATGGTCATACTGTCTCTGTAAGGATTGTACACTTTGAACATTAACACTTTTTTTAATCTCCTCCATGCATGAATTGGTGTGAATTTAATAATCATCTTTATCCAAAATATATATGATGATCTCCCAAATATCTACCTATACATTCCCTACTTCCACATTTCATATACCTTTGGCTTCTCGCTTTAGTAATAGCAAGTCTCACAAGCCTTTGTATTCACACTTAAATATAGTATGTTACAGAACGCTTATCCATACGAATGCATTTACATCACCACCGTTTACCTAACAATGTCTTAGGATAATGTACACAAACAAAACATGTACAGATTCCATAATCAATTAATAATTTTGATATAGTGTTTCAATATTGAACACCAACCTCAGTCAGTTTTTTGTTGATACAGTTCTTTCAAAGACTTCAGTTCATCAATTAGAGTCTGATTTCTGCTTTCTAAAACTGCTACACGATTTTCTAAACACTTAATGTATTCCTTTTTCTTTCTTCTACATTCTCTTGCCGCTTGCCTGCCAAAAAGAAAAAAAATGTCTTCATTAATAACATGTTAATGATAAATATAATGTGTAATAAAAACTTAATTTACCTATTCTTCAGCAACCTCAATTCCCTTTTTCTAGCTGCATCTTCAACAACTACACCATGTCCTGAGTAAGCTGTAACGGTGTCGAAGGCTGTACGATTATAGATATAAAAATCCTTACTCTAACTACTTTATTTTAAAAAAGCATAAATCAGAGAGAGAGAGAGAGAGAGAGAGAGAGAGAGAGAGAGAAATATGATTTATTATAGAATAATAATGCAAGAAGCAAAAGATGAAAATATTATATTAGATTTTAAATATAATACGCGTGAAATTGTAACTTCGCTACTGATAATTTAAAGAAAAATACAAGATAAAAATAAACATGAGTAAAGCACACCTGGGACAAAATATTGTGCATCCTGAGTCTGTGTATATTCTACAATAGTTCCACCCGCCGTTGCTGCATTACTCATAGTTAATGTATGAAGCCCCGGTACACCTTCCCCTTGTGTTGCAATTTGAATCGCGCCAGCAGGTATTACTGTAAAATATATCAATCTATGCTTATTCTTGTATTATTACAAATGTATAAATGTATTTTTATTAAAATATGTATTCACATATTCATTATGCTATAAAGATTATAATGTCATGTATACTTCTGGAGGATATTGTAATGTAAACTACAGATATTATTAAATAGTAGCAAATTATATCAATTATTTTTTTGTATATCAAGTTGATACTACTTAATTTAGATAAAAATTTCTATACACAAGGATGCCACACCAAACGAATATTTGGATACAATGTCATGTTAGGCAATGCACACAGGGATATGAGATAGTATTTTAAATTGGCATACTTAATGTAATTATGCTATATCAGTCAAAGACCATCCCAATTTGATAATAGAAAGTACGTTTGACGGTGGATAAAATACATATAGAGATCATAGTGATACACAGAACAGCCAGCAGAAATATGCAGAAGATAAAATAACCAACCTGTCTGATAATGAAGAGAGTGGGAAGACACTTCACTGTCCACATTAGAATCACACTCTGAAGAAGATTCTATGGGGGGTAAACGACCGTCTGCAACACCGAATGAAGAACCCTCCCATTACAGTGAAATGTATTTTTTTTTTTTTCATACACTTCTATATCTTCTTATACGAGCAAGAAGAATATTAACATTTTTTAAAAAATAAAAGGGTATTGAAATTTAATTTTTTATGAATGATAGTAACTAATTATTATAATTAAAAATATACTCAATAATTGTAACGTGGTATGTGGTGGCAAATTTTATTATATATAGATAAATTGATATATACTGTAATAAAATGTAAATCATATAATATAAATCATAGTATGAAAAATAAAGTGTTCAGAATATAACAATTAATAACTATTTCCTTTCTGGTTACTGATCTATATATTTATTAATAATCTATTGTGCCGTCAGCTCATACAAAAAGGAAATAGAAGATAGAGTGAAAAATAAAAATATATACAGCAAAATAAACAATAAATTTATCTATTTAAATGTCACCATACGTGAACCATTAAAACAGGTCAATTTATATGACAGATTAAAGATGACCAACCACATAGCATAAGTATAGAGATTCTGAAGATTAGAATTCTATCAAATACAAATCTTTATTTTTTCGAAACTTCAACTATAGTAATAGTAATAATAAATTAAAAAAAAACATGTATAAATATATCTTATTTTAATGGTGACAAGTAATAATTATCCTTCTTAAACATTCATTTTTATTTGTAAAATAGGACAGACAATTATGTAATTTATTAATGTTGAATTCAATTATTATTATTATTATTATTATTATTATTATTATTATTATTAAATTAATAAGAGAAATTATTCTAATAAACGTCTTCATCAATGCGTCATCTTCTAACTTGTACACCGTAACTAAAGACAAGTAAACTGATTATCAAATGCAATACTTCTTCATCATTTAAATACATCTTTACTATTCATAATAAAATAAGCACACACACTCATAGGTCAATGAAAGTTTTTATGCACTTCCAAAAACGAAGTAAATTAGACATAAATATTTATCCATATATGGGAAAAAATAAATTGGGATTATCTGGAAACCTTACTTCATAACGTATACATTGTAATTTTGGTATGGCATCCTTTTATAGATATCATAGGGGATAAACGAAGAAACATAAGTTAACATAAGCATCATATATCTAAACCTATTCAATTAATTTGCATACACATGACATTTATCAATTTTCTGCATTTTATAGTTTCATTATTTTATAATATAATTATCTTTCACTATTAACAATGAAATTTGTATGAACTGACATGCACTTTGATGATCTTCATGAACAATTCGAACTTCAATCATATTAAAAAAAACTACCATTTGAATGAATTTAATTTTTCAAAGTAGTATTTCTACAATTATAACAAAAATTACTTCTTTTCATTATTTAAATATAGTTAAACAATTGTTCGTTACGATTCTATTAAATAATCGAATAAAATTTGTTCAATTAAATAATTATAAAAAAAAAAAATGAAATCATAGCCAGTAAACAACTTTAAATCAATGTCACATAGTGTAAAAAGATCTTTGATAAATAAAAACGTACAATTATAAAAAAAAGGATAATCTCACCAGTAATTTCTCCACCACCTAGGTCATTAAGAATTTTTCTGTACGATGGACGTCTGGTGAGAATATTACTTCTTGTTTTAGGAGATTCTTCATCAGTAAAACTATCATCACTCCCAGTTTCGACAACCTTAAAAACATCCAAATTTTAAGTATTTGAAATAGAAATATTATTAGAATATGTATTAATATATTTCATGTGTAAAACAACAATATGAAATACCTGTAGCGTTTGTAAACTGCCTTGAGCAGTTTGTATGACTGAATTTGGTTTGCTAACAAGAATAACATTTCCTTTGGAAAGAGCAACAGGTTGAATGTTTGTTGCAGTCTGGATTACAGATTGCTGGTTGGGTTGTATAACTGATTGAACCTGTAAAATATATTATTATGATATAATAAATAACAACATTATATATTTAATAAGAAATATAAGGGAAACAAATACATGCTCCAAACTTTTTTATTTTATAATATTTTTAAATGAAAGTAGAAATTTTAGTTACAACTTCTCTTTAAGAAATTAGATACAAGTGTATAAAGAAATATCATTGAAAATGTATATTTTGCAACTCATAAATAAATTTTTTAATGAAAACCAGCATTATGCAATATCAAAGAAAAAATCTCTATGTGAAACATTTCGCAGAAATATAGTTGTTTATAAAAAATGAAGGAAATAATATATACATGCATTCAAAGAAAAAAAAAGAAAAAGATAGAGTTAAATGTATTGGACATAGATACACAGGAGTTTCTCCTGTATACCTGTGTTGCTCCCGACGAAGGTAGTGTCAGTTGCACAATGCTGGTAGAAGCTACCAGATGATGAGTTTGTTGTTGAGGCGTTCTATTGAGAGACTGTACCGATGTTGCAATTGCTGGAGCAGCATCACCACTTTGAGAACCCTGCGATAATGGGTCAACGGCCGATCCATTTTCCTCGACCATACTTTCCATAGCCTGGGTACTTGGAGCCCTGTAATTATGATTAGTATCAAATGAAATAGATTATCTTTTACCATTCGTTGCATTATGTATACTAATAAGATAGACTAAAAGCAAACAAAGTTATTCAAAATGAATTTAATTTCACTGCATATAATAGATATATAATAATCAAGTTATGTGACAAAAAAGAACATAAAGAGCTTAAAAAAGTATTTGAAAATTTGTAAGTTAACAAAACATCAGCACATCCAAAATAATAATTAACTACATTCTTTATGTTATGTAATAATACCATAAGTAATAATAATAATAAAATATCGATTATTTAATCGATTAATTCAATTTTCAATATCGATAAATACGATCGGAAATATAATCGAAAGAAAAGAAAACTGAAGAAACTTATACGATTAATTTAAACCGTAGAACTAATGTGGAGAGATAAGGGAAATTTTAAAAGTTCCCGCCAATAAGAACGAACTGAGTATGCTACTGCGTCATTTACATAAGTAGATCTAAAAATAATATCAGAACAATAAACACTTAAGGTGCTTTGGCGGCAGATGTATGAAAGTTGTAGAACCGCCATTCATTAATGTGTACATCGTTTTAATAAAGATCAGTCGAGTCCTTGAAGATGAGAAAATTAAATATGTCGAAACAACAAGGGTAACCCTAGATCATTGTTCAACGAAGATATTCTTCTCGTCCTTTCTTAAGACGCCATATTTCGCAGCATATTCCATAGTAGCAGACATAAAACTTCAACATGCGTTGAGAGTCTCACGAATAAAAACGTTTAACGGCTACTATCGAGAGTATTTCGGGTGTACCGTTAGCGCAGTGGTCCATGTCCGCTTGTTATTATTCTCCAGCTGGGTACTTACCAGTTACGTATTTCTCGTCACCAACTTTGCTGCAATCGGAGTGGGCAAGCAAGCAGGTACGTAGCAGCCACGTCAAAACTCCAGTGGCTTCGTCACTGGTGGAACCCGAGCTGCGCGTCACCATCAAAATGGCGACCATCCACGTCCCTCACCGTCGATCTCCCCACCACCCCCACCATCGGTAGCACTGCCACGCCGCCACTGCTGCCCCCGCCACTGTCACCACCGCTACCCCCGCCACTGCTGCTAACGCTGCTACTATCGCCGTCTCTTTATAAAAGCACCGAAAGGCGCGGCAGACAATTATACACTTTTTTACCAATCTTCTATTCACTTGCTACTTATTTCACTTTGCACCTATGAAACTCTTTCTTTTTTTCTTTAGCATTTTATATTTTTTTTGTTTTACTTTCTTTTCGAGTTTCTACTGTTTTTTATTTTTTACAACCTCAACTACATTTATTATGTTATAAAATTGCTTAGAATTTGTTTTTTTTTCGATTGTCGTAAATGATATAATTGTTAGAATTATTTAATAGATTTTCTCATAGACTGAATAAACTTTACAATTATAATGTATTATTACATATTTGAAACATTTTCAAGTTCATTTAATCAAATGCAATTTGAACGCATTAAATAATATTAAACAAAAGTGAATAACATAAATATATAACGTATAAACATAATGTATTGCAGTTATATATTTTGCTATAATGTAGAAAAGCAAATCACCGCTGACGTGTCGATGACGTCATGGCATGACGTCATCGCTACATTTAGTGCATTAGTATTTTAAGATATTTTTTTTTCTCTATCTTTCTAGATTTAAATATTCTCAATAACATAGTATTTAAAAAATATAAAAATATGTTAAATAATTAACACAAATGTTGTTTATGGATTAAATTATTTACGATAAAAATAGCTTCATAAGTTGTACGTAATCGTAGATAACAATATTCCGATATCGTTGGATCAATGCTTTAAATGTCGAATGTCACAGATATTTTATATTTTTCCCTCGACAAAACATTTATCTTTTTTCTGTATAAAATAATTATATCAGTTCGTTCATATAAACATATTACAATTTAATATGTGAATATTGGCAACATTTCGTTCTCAAGGTTACTGATACATTATCAAACGCATAGTAACATTTACAAATAATATATGAATATAATGGTTTTTGTTTATGTTATTTTCATATTAAATTGCAATATAAATTAATTAACGTAAAATGACATTAATAATATAAAATTAAAACTTATTTTACAATATTTTTAAATTCTTTCATTTCAATAAATTTACTCCTGAACAAAATTTTCAGATTTAGTTGAACGAATAACCGCTAGGTGTACGATGCAAATATCGACACATGATAATGTAGAAATCTCTTATCAAAATTTCATTATCTCACCGCTAGGAAAAAAACAAAAGGCTGTTTCAGATATTCGTTTGGTACTTTATATTTCTATTAATTCTAAGTACGCACGTTTTATTTGTTAAAAAGTATATGACTTTTATTTAAATTATTTGGTCATTATATTTAGTGTAAATTTGATTCTTTCCAGGAAATGAATAAAGATCCAAGATCTACAGAGTACAGAAAACCTCGTAAATTTTATGGAACTCCAATCAATAAATATATTAATAAAGCAATTCTTATTTCTTCTGGTTTTCTTTTTGTATTTGGCTGTTGTTTGAGGTGAGCGTATTACGTATATTACATATTACATTTAATTTTAATGACATTTAAAACATTGCTTATACTTAATAATATTTATATTTGCATATATATATACATGGCAAATAAGATTTAACATATCACTATTGAATTTAAAATTGTAATTTAGTTATACGTTTAAATGCATAATAATAAATTGAATATTGTTTTAGTCCTATTCTAAGTCCTGTTTTACAAAGAGTAGCAGATAAATTCAGATTTATACCGAATAAAACCATTATTGGACCTGATAGTATTGAATGGAGCTTGGAACAAAAACTAAGAGAAAGACTTAAAATAAGGGAAGAAATTGCTGAACATGTAAATATTTTAACACATACAGTTAAATAAAATCTACTTATATTATACTGTGCATAAAATTAATTAAATACATTAAATGCAGAATCAGCAGCAGATAGATAGAGAAGTACCTACTTGAAGACAGTTTGACAGATTGGTAATAGTATGTATTATTTAATGAATGATGTTATTAAATATATTTATGAGTAAATATTTATAAATAATTATTAAATTTGTTATATTTTATGAGTGATGATCACTCTATTTTAACCGTTTGGCTGTGAGGTGCGCTAACGCGCTCTTCTTGTGTTATTTTAAAAATGTGAAGCGCACGAAAGCGCTCCTGTTCTTTTTTTCTTAAAACTGCCGATTGTTTAATAATGCTATTCTGAATCAGTAAAATTTATGTATTCAATGAAGCTCGGTAAATTTGCGGAACATATAATTTTTAATTGTTGTAATAATATTACATATTTCAAAGTGTTTAACATTTTTTCTTATACACATATGCAATTTTGGCATATGTCCGAAAAAATACTTTAGCTGCCAAACGGGTAAATATTATAAAATATACATAATTTGTTCATAGATAATGATAGATGAATGTATTGAAATAAAAATGTAAATTATATTCGAATTAAATAAATGATGTAAAAAAAAAATAAAAAAATTATAAATACAAATAATTTTTCATTTATAGATATTATAATAGAATCTTTTGAAAACAAATACAATATGAACATGGAGAAATATGATAAAAATATGTCTAAAAGTAATAGCAAAGTTGGTCAATCTTCATCTTCGGATGAAAATACAAGTTTAGCGGATTTTAAATCTCCTAAAGTAAAAAAAATCAGAACGTTGCAACAGTTCAACTTCAAAATAGAAACAAATAAAAAGAAAGATAAAAAGTTAAAGAGCAAGTCGAATAAAGGTTTAAATACAAAAGCGAGTACTAGTAATCAATTAAACAAAAATATTTTCCAAGTTTCTAAGCAAACAGAATCTAGTATGTCTATGGAAAACAAAGAACCTGAAACACTTTCAAATAGCGTGAAGAGTTTATACATGTGTCCATTGTGTTTTAAATCTTTTAAGGATACAAATACCAAAACACTTCATATGAAAACCTGTGCATCTAAAAATAATGTTTCTACGAATAAATTATTACAAGCTATAGAATTACAAGAACGTCAATCTGCAGAAAGAGCCTCTCTCGGATTACCTACTGCACCCGTATTTAAAAATAAAAAACAGACTACTATAAATAGAAAGGTACGTTGTGAATAAAACATTTATAATATTAACAAATATTGTCAAAATTATATCTTTACAGGTTCCATCAGAAGATCGTCAACTGGAGCTTGCTCTTGTACTTTCTAAATCCCTCTATGAAGTTGAAGAAGCTGGATGTTTCTATGAAGTTGAAGAAGCAGGATGTTCTTATGAAATTGAAAAAGCAGGATGTTCCTATGAAGTTGAAAAAACTATAAAATCCAATGAAGTAGAGACTGTAGTAGAAATATGTCCGTCAAAAAATTCTATTATGGAGCTTAAGGACAAAGGTCCAATAGAAACTAGTCGAAATCAAAAGAAAAGTACGAATAACTTATTTATAGAATATAAATTAAAAATAGCGTACATATTTAACTTGTAATTTTATGTTATAATATAACTATTACAAATTTAAAATAGAAATTTTCTAGAAGATCAATTTACTCATATTATATATATTTTTTTTTAATAGAAAAATCAAACTTTGTAACAGTTTTACAAACTCGTACAAAAGAAGACAGGGATCGTTTAATAACTGAAAAATTAGTTGAAATTTTAGTAAATAATCAGACATTTAACCAGAGCCAACAACAACAAGAAACTGAACGTGAAGATTTTAAAAAAAATTTGAAAAGCCGTCTCCTTAAAAAATGCTTGGATTTTGTAAGTATATTTTTTGGATCGTTGTATAGTAAACATTTATATTTATATATTTTTTTCATTGTACTGTAATATTATATACAGGATAGTAAATTATGGAATTCAGCAATGTTACAGCAAAAGCAAGAAGATTTCTACGTTATGAGTTTATCACCATATGTTGTTCCAAGTACAAAACAAATATTTATGGTATATATATATATATGCATATGTGTTCTATGATTAGCATGCATATGTGTTCTATGATTGGCATGCATATGAATAAAAATTGAATTATGAACATTATTTTTAGTATAATAGTATAATATTGGAATATTATTTACAGGAAATTGAAAATGATAATCACCAATCTATGATTATCGAAAATAACGATATTACAAATGAGACAGAATCAAAAGATTTATTGCCAACAACATCTGATTTGTGTTTGAATAAAAAGGAAAGCACGAATATATCACCAAAATCGGATGTAAAATTATCTTCAAAAACAGAAAAAGAAAATATTAGCATACAATCGTCTATTAATACTTTAATACTTGATTGGGGAAATGCACTAAACAATAGTTCATCAAGTGATACAATAATATTTGTTAATGATGGCAAACATATTTGGGTACATAAATTGGTGTTTTATATACGATGTTCTAATATTTTACTCGATATAACACCAAATAATAATACAACTTATTCGGTTAAAGAAATGATTAAATGGGCCGACATAAAATATGACATTGCTTTGGCATTTTTGGAATTTATTTATTGTGGTATTATTAAAAAGTATGCGATTACTTTGACTGACAAGATTGCCATGTCTTCGCTAGGAAGTTTAGCAAGAAAATATAAAGTCAAAGAATTATTTACTTATTTACGTCATGAATGTGCTGTTTTGCATGATAAAACTTCAGAAAATTATGAATTTGAACTAGACGATCTTGATATACAAGAAGTTTGTAATAATGAAGATGTTAATTGTGTTAATCAAAGTAGTCCTAATATTTCCCAACTGGATATCTCGCATGAAGAACTGTTAAAAGCAATTATGACGTCTCCGAAAAAGAATACCAAATTTGATTCACATTTGGATAGAGAAAACAGTATGTCTCCAGATATATTCAATGATACGAATGATGATGTTCAAGTAAATAATACAAATGTGGATAATTTAAATAAAAACCTTGATATATTGTTAAGTCCAATTCAAAGTAATTCAGAAATGAATACAAATGAAAACTTTTCTTTATTAATAAACAAAAGTCGGTCTCCTATCGATGAATGTGTACTTAATGAACCATTAACACAAATTTCAAGAAATAGTCCATTAAAAGAGGTTTCAGATATAATAACAAAAAAAATTAAATCTACAAGAAATCTAATGTCATATATTGAAGAAATCCGAAGAGAAAATGATATAATAGATTTTACTCCAGATCCTGAGAGAGACTATCAGGCTAGTTTCATTGAATTTAATGGAAATCCATTTGTGAAGAAGAGGTATGGCATTGAAGATCATATTTCTTCAAAACAAGAAGAAAAGACAGGTTTCTTGACTTTTCTTGAAAATAATATGCAGAATGATGCTAATGAAAATCCACAGTCAGACAAATTTAGAATAGATCTTACACGTACTTCACCTACTGAACATAATCATACAGATTTATTATCATCAACAAAAGAAATTGAAAGTAGTTTTACATATAATAGTGATAAACATTTATTACAGAAAGAAACTTTAAATTCACAGGTCAATAGTACTTTTATAAATGCATCATGCAATTCTAGTAATAAAATGGATACAGATGATGATCCAGATGTGCATACAAAAAATAAAAGAAAACTTGATGATAATAACGATAATGCTACATGTCTATCTGCTTCGAAAAAACATAAAAATGATACGACTAAAATAGAAATTTATGAAATAAAAAATACTAAAGCCATTGCATCAAATTCTGATGAAGTTGAAAATGAAGTAGAAATTTGTGCTATTGTTAAAAATCAAAATAGCTATCAAGATAAAGACAATTTTAATGAACAAGAAACAGATCTTTGGAACTATGATTATTCAGAGATTTTGAATGTAGTTTTTCCTGAAATATCTGATATTAAAAATAAACATGTAAGTCCCTTAAAATCAACAACTCCAAATTCAATTGTTCTATCTTCTAGTTCAGAGGTGAGCTTAGATAGTCAAGATATCAATGATTTCAACAGAAATGAGAACATATCTGTTGTACGTTCAAATTTACATGACTCCGATGAGGAATTTCGCTATAATTTGTCGAATGATATAAATTTTTCAAACATTAATATCGATGATAAAATAAAACATATTGTACTATTAGATAAAAATGCATTGCACGTTATTTCAAGAAAAAAAATATTAAAAAGAAAATGGAAATCTGAAGAAAATTTACGAATGAATTATATGACTGAAGAGAATGATCAAAATAACAAAGAAAATAATAACAAATTGTTTATAACAAATAAATTATTTACTATTACAGAAAACGATGATACTTCACCGCCAAATTATAATATTATGAATACTCCTGAGCATCATGTATGATTGTTAACTGTTATTTCATTAATTTAGTTTATAATATTTTTTAATAATTGTAAATATTTATATTTTTTTTAGAAAGAGATGGAAAAATATGGATTAAAGAACCAAAGTCGTAATAAAACTATTAAACTATTAACGTATATTTATAATGAGTTACATCCTACTATTGATTTATGTGAAACAATGAACACTAACACACAAAAAATAAATAATGCATATGAAAAATCACAAAAAAAGAGACAAAATGCAGATATTAGTTCATCGGATGAAGACAATAACACCGAATATGAATGCAGTACAACTCTATTAAAAAAATGGTATGTGTTTAATAAAATAATAAATTATTACAAAATAAAATAATATAATAAAATTATTCAAGGGACTCAAATTATGATAAAAGAATAGAATCTTCGGGAAAATCTTTATATATGATTGAAAATTTCGTTAAATTAGATGATTGTGTTAATATGAAAGAAGCATTTGCGAAATTAATGGAATTTAATAAAGATCTACATAATAAAATTTTGCAATATGAGCCATTAAATGTAAAATGGTTGTATCAGTTGTTGAAAACAAGTGGTTTCAAATGCAAAATTAATGATGTTATCGATTTTCTGGATGAACAGGTATTTTTTCTTTATTATTCTTTTGTATGATATATTTTGAAATAATTCTTTTTTCTCAAATTTCGATTAGCTCTTGTAACAATTAACAATTTCTTTTAGTGTATCACATTTAATATACCTGAAAATAAAATGAGAAACAGAAGTAGAAAATAAGAAAATTTTAATGGATTTTAATAGAAATTAAAGTATATTTGAATGTTCATAATTTTTTTTATAATTATTACATGTACTCCGTTTAAATATAGGTACATACATATATATACACTTACAGTGAATAGCAATATGTTTTTTTTTTTTAATAAAATTATGATAGTTATAAGATAAAATTATGGCCAATAAATAAACTACATAATATTCATATGTATTTTATCCAATTGTATGCATATTTTATCTTAATATTATTTTTATATTTGATCAAAAGTTTTAATTGTTTTTAAGATGTACCAATGTGATTAATATTTTTAATTGCGTTTACTTAGCAACTGCGAACCCTACACGATCATTTTCCATATCGAATTCAGTATAATAACGTCCAATGAATACATCACCAAGAATCCATAAGGGCCCATTTGGTGGAGGAATATCAATACCCATAAATCCACTCAAACAAATAGTTTTTCCGAATTGCGTCACCTATGTAGTAAAGTTGTTAACATATTATACCATATTATTTTAATTTACATAATTACATTTCTACTAACCTTTAAAACATAGTCTTTACCAAACAAAGAGAAGGAACGTCCACCAAGCACAAAATTGATTACAGGTAAACGCTCAATAGAGTTACAGTCAACCTTCAAACAAAAGTATAATATATTTATTTGTTACATTTTTTGGAATATTTTGTTTAGAAAAAAAACTTGTATAAAAATTGTAGGAAAATAAAAAAGATTTCTATAATATTTACCATTGCTTCTCCTGATATGATTGGTGTTGCTCCAATTTCTTTATTTATTGCTTTAACTTCGTCTAATGGTCCTGCTATTAATGAAGTACCAGTGTCGGCAATAGCTTCACAGCCATCTTTACAAAATACACTGCTGCCAACTTCGACTCTATAATTCAATAAAATTGATATAATATTTTTTAGATAGTATAATAATAATAATATAAACTATACCTATCCATTCTAAATTGCCAATAAGCTTTGCGATCAACAGGAACATATGTAAAAGTACCCTCATAATGATCAGGATCGGAACCTCCCAATATCATTTCTCCACCTACTGGTGCCGAAGGATCTCTGAATAGATTGAAAAATATAAAATAAAATACAGTATACGAAAAATAAAGAAAACGATACTCCAGACATTAAAATAAAATACCTGTTTAAATAGAAACTAAAAATGGCCTGTGGTATGATGCCTTGTTTAACCAAATTATAAAAAGGAGGCGTTACACCATCTACAGCTATTTTAGAATATGCCATTCCTAATATTCCATCAAATTTAGCAGCGACAAAGGCAAGTCCAGGTTCGCTCATAGCTTCAGCAAACATTTGATCTTTGATTTCTGATCCTGCGATCTATCAAATTTCATCGATATTAAATTTATTGGAATAAAGTAATGCAGACATTTTTTGTAATACTTCAGTAGGATTAGAATAATATTAGTATTGACTTACTGATACTTTATCAACAGATAGGTATCCAGAAAGACTACCCGAGCCATATCGAATTGAAAACTCAGTACCATTTTGTTTATAAGTGGATGATTTGCTGCTATCGTATTTGTGATGTAAAACTGTAAAAGAAATATAATTAAACAATTATTTTATCTCTCTCTCTCTCTCTCATTCAATTTTATATTTTACATATAATCAATCACATGAGTCAATGCAAATACAAAGAAGAAAATAAAGATAATAGATGTTCTTTAACCTTTCAACATTACTTATCATCATTATGCGTCTTTTTTATTCGTAGCTGATTAATACTGATTTAATTCTATTATTATAATTACTGATAACATAGAATAACTATGGAAACATTATAATATGTTTATATACTTACGGCAAGCAATATTCGTTAGATGGCATTTTTTGGATGGAACCCATAAATTTGAGGAACCCGTATCGAAAACCACACTAAAATCTTGCGGTGGCGAACCAATGCTAATGACACCGTAATATTGGGCATCAAGATAATTAGATAATGGTTCTGGTGTGAGATCACCGTATTTAAGATGTGCTTTATGCAATTCCGTATCGTATTCTTTCAGTTTAGATCTTACGGTTTGAGTCTTATACAAAGGGATCCTCGAATAAATGAACAAAATATTTAATTAATTATTGTTTTTTTCGGCTTTTATCGTATTTTGTAATTATAAATTATTGTATTAAATATTTACTTACCTTACTAAGTCTGCATTGGCAAGCACTAAGAAAATAGAAAGACACAAAAAAATGCAATGCATCTTTTCAATATATAATTAAATTTGACAGATAATAACCACACACTTTTTAACTACGCAATTAGATGTTATTATTATGATATTCTTAATTCACTACCGCCTTCTTGAACGGTTCGTAACTAACTAGACTCAGTGCTGTCAGATGTAGAATGTTCTCACGCATGCGCACTTATGCTGTCGAGCAGTATGCGCACGCGTACTAGTACTGTCGAGCTGCCCGCGCACGCGCACTAGTGCCATCGAGCTGTATGCGCACCGTCTATCTACATGCGCACGCGCATTAATGCTGTCAGCATGCGTATGCGCACGAAGGCTCCCACGTGGGAGAAAATCTGACGTCCTGGCATCACTGCACTAGACTATACGATGTAAATAGAAAGTCATACAGTAAGTAAATTCTTAGTAAAATTTTATTCGTCGTCTGGTGGCAGATGTTGGTACTAAAATATATATTGACCATATGAAATTATTTATTTTTTGTGTTTATTAAAATTATTTATTCATTTTATTAATTAATAATGAATTTGTCCTGAACATATCGAATAGTGGATTTCAAAAAATAGATTTGTTTACACATGTGATTACCATAATAGAGTTTCCACTAGAACAATTTTTTAACTCCATGCCAATGAATAAACTTACTAAACCATTTATTATATATATCTTCGTTACTACTAGTTTTTTTTCTATAAATTTGGACTATAAATAATAACTCTAATAATAGTAATAAGTAAAAAAATTATATTAACAAATAAAGTCAAAATGTTGATTAGGTTATCACCAATTTCATTATCTGCTGTATTTAAAAAACGGTAATTTTAATATGGTATTACATTTGACAATTGTTATAAATTTTGATGTTTTAACCTTTATGCTCTCTCTATTTAATTTTTAATTTATAAGTTATAAATCGTAATTAATAAAACTAATAGCTTATAATTTATACGTTATTTTTAATTAATATTATCATTTCAATAGTCATTTCGTAAAAAATTAAAAATTAATAGAATTTGTGAAATGTTTATTTATGTTCAAACATTTATGTTGTTTTTATTATATAAAAAAATGAATGAAATAATTAATAGAAATTGTTTTGTTTTTCAGTCCTGTGCAAATAGATAATTTTACTCTTTGGCAAACCCGTAACTTTACAACCTCTGTAAGAGAACCACCACTAGTTACATCGCTTCCTCCGTTGACAAAACCAGTGCCCAATTTACCAAAGCCAATTTATTCTACAGCTAAGGAAGAAAATCAAACAACACAAGTCACGATCTTATCAAATGGATTACGTGTTGCTTCTGAAAATCGCTTTGGTCAATTTTGTACAATTGGTGGTATGGATAATATATTACAATAAAAAATTGATCAGTATATCATAATAGAAAGATTATAAAATATAATAAAGTAACATAAACATATTTTTTTAGTTCTTATTGACTCTGGTCCTCGATATGAAGTTGTCTACCCTAGCGGAATCTCTCACTTTCTTGAAAAATTAGCGTTTGGTGTAAGAACTATAATTATATGTATTTAAAATAATTAGATTAGAATAGCGTAATGATGTTTGATAATTTTTTAGTCAACAAAACATTTTGGAAGCAAAGATGAAATAATGCTAGCATTGGAACAACATGGAGGTATATGTGATTGTCAGGCGTCAAGAGATACATTCATTTATGCTGCATCTGCAGAATGTCGTGGCTTGGACACAGTCACTAATATCTTAGGTGAAATTGTACTGAGGCCTAAAATTACAAATGATGAAGTATATTTATTAAACATATATGTCATATTTATATTGGTTATGTTTGTAGAGATTAAACAGGATTATTTTTACAGATATTAGCAGCAAGGCAAACGGTTCGTTTTGAGATAGAAACATTGTTAACAAGACCAGAACAGGAACCTATATTGATGGATATGATTCATGCTGTAAGTAAAATTTGTAATGTTATCATGTATTAAACATTGAGTAACAGTATACATTTTTATTAAAATTTGTATTAAACAGTATACATTTTTCGTTAAATTCAATACTAAAATTGTATTTTATTCATAGGCTGCCTATAGGGATAATACATTAGGGCTTCCCAAGATTTGTTCAGAAGAGAATATAGAAGTAATAGACAGAAATATTTTGTTTAAATATCTTAAAAATCACTATGTTCCAAGTAGAATGGTCGTTGCTGGTGTTGGAATCGATCATAAGGATTTGGTTAAAGCAGTCGAAAAGTAATTGAATTATTTTTTCAAGCTGAATCAGATTTTATCAAACTAATACAAGTATTTGAAGTCTTACAATTTATTTATTATAGGTACTTTGTTGACCGAAAGCCTATTTGGGAAGAAGAAAATATTGTTTCGTCAGATAAAAATGAATTGTTGGTTGATAAATCTATTGCACAATACACAGGTGGATTTAAATTGGTAAATTTTTATTAAATTTGTAATATTGTTTTTAATTAAATTAAGGATTTAATAACATTGTTTTATATATACAATTATATAAATAGGAAGAGTGTACTGTACCAGTATATGCAGGGCCAAGCGGTTTACCAGAACTATCACATGTAATAATAGGCTTAGAAGGTTGTTCACATCAAGATCCAGATTTTGTTGCAATGTGCGTTTTAAATATGATGATGGGAGGTGGTGGAAGTTTTAGTGCTGGTGGTCCTGGAAAGGGCATGTATACACGTTTGTATACCAATGTTCTTAACAGGTAATAGAAGATAAATTTGAATCATATCTATTTGATGTGAAAAAAAATATAATTAATCAATAAAACCATGTTTTAGGTATCATTGGTTGTACAGTGCAACGGCATATAATCACGCTTATATTGATACTGGTCTTTTCTGTATTCATGCATCTTCCACACCTACGTATATAAGAGAGTTGGTAGAAGTTATTGTACATGAAATGGTCTCAATGTCCAACAATATTTCAAAAAGTGAACTTGAAGTAAGTTAATCACATGATTTAATATAAGTAAATTAGAAGAAATAAAATTTATTTTCTCAATATTTTTAATATCGTTTGCTTTTATAGAGAGCGAAGAAGCAATTACAATCTATGTTGCTTATGAATCTAGAACAGAGACCTGTTGTATTCGAAGATATCGGAAGACAGGTCTTAGCAACTGGTTCAAGAAAAAGACCAGAATATTTTATAAAAGCTATTGGTAATTATGTAATTATTTGATTACAAATTTATCATAGATTTTATATTTATTATTTTTACAGAAGCGGTATCGGACGCAGATATATACAGAGTAGCACGTCGGTTACTCAAATCACCTCCTAGCGTAGCTGCTCGTGGACAAGTTAAATCAATTCAATCAATTGCAGATATACAAGCTGGTTTACTAGATGTTCAAGGCCGGTTACCTGGTTCTCAAACCAGATTGGCGTTTTTTCGTTAAAAGTCTCAACAAATTGTACAATCTTTTTCCTCTTACTTTTAAATAGTTAAATAATTTATTAAAATTCTTTTTACATTCGTTAAAGTACACGCGTGTAAAAAGTTTCGTTTAACAAAAATTCTTGTAATTTAATTTATATTACAGTTAAATCAATTAGGAAAAAGCTAAAGAACTACGATACTTTTACTGTGATTTTGTATAAAATAAAATAAAGTATATATATATTATACTGTATTATTATAATGTAATATATATTACTAGATTATTTTTATTATTAGCGCTTATTATAAAATACTTATTAGATAGAATATCTATCTATGGAAACATACCATAGTAGTAAGTATTTTTCATATATTTAATATATTTCATATATTAATATATTTCATTGAATGAATAAAATCTTATAAATATTGATTATCCATAACTTTAATCAATTTTAGAACACATTAAATAAAAAAAGATAACAGTAGAATAAGTTGTAAAATTCAAATAATGTGTTTTAATGTTAGCCAATCAGATTGCAGCTGCCATGACACTTTTTTCACTTGCGCAGTCGGAGAACAGTAACATTTGAACGGTTTGAACTGATTAATGATATAGAATGGATTATATTTGTAATAAATGTTTCTGTACAAAATTTAGTACAACTAAGCCGTTTAAATTGACACAGTGTAAACATATATTTTGTGATAATTGCATAAAAGAAGGTAATCACTCAAATTTCTTAATGATAAACGTAAAAAATATGTTTTATAAAATAAATTTATTATGTCCTAGTTGCAAGACAGTGTATAGTCTGTGGTTTCCAAAAACCTGCTTCTTTATCTTTAAAAGAACCATTGCCACCAGAAATAGCATCTTATTTTGTTCCATTGAATGAAACTTTAGGATCATTGAGAACAGCAACAAATTTACAGAACACACAATTTGGCATTATTTTAGAACGCTTTTACGAGCTTGTATGTAGTGTTTTTCTTCTTTTTAAATTTCTATAAATGTGGATTCAGTTTTTTTATATTATAATAATTATCTTATTTATTATCGTATTTTTCGAAGAGAAGGAAGTACTATGATCTCAAGAGTCATTATTGTAAGGTTATTCAAAAGACAGAGTATATGATACAAGAATGCAATAAATTTAAACATAATATAAAAAAAGTAAAAGAAAAGGTGAATTATTTTAAAGGTATTAGTCCTATAGCATCTACTTCGACTCGTTCAATAAATTCCATAAATACACCACTACAAAGTTACAGGTAAATATCAAATATACACTTATGTTTCTTATATTTTTCATATTTTCATCATTTCTTTTAATTTAACAGATTTTCTTTTACGAGTCGTATTACACCAGAAGAATTTCGTGTACCCACTTCTTCCAAAGTACCAAAATCTGTTAGAAAGTATAATCAAACTCCTGGCAATACGTAAAGAAAAATAAGTTTATAATATATCTATTAAACTAACATTACAAATTTGAATGCTATTACAGTACTGTTTATAGTAAGTCTTGTTTGCTTAATTAATCGAATGATATTATAATTGAAAAAATAGTATCATTAATAATTATTATTTATAGAAATGCTTAAGAAAGTAAAGAATTTATTACTGAAATTAAATAATACTAGTTTATTTTTCATCTTGGTCATTGTGATCAAGATTATCTTGAAATTATATATTAACTTGTTAATGATATGATATGATATTATATTATATTATATTATATTATATTATAGTTTATAAGATATTGCATTCGATGCGAGATGGTTGGCTCATGTATATACGAATGAACGAAGGAGCGAATGGTCGCGCGCACATGCGACTAGTCGCGGGTAAACTCGCGAGCAGTTAGTGGGCCAGGTTCGCTTTACTAAGAAACAGAACTTTCAGTTTCTTTTGGGAGATCGCGAGTGCAGCATCTTGTTAGTGTTAACAGACGCGTCTGGTACGCGCGTGAAAGTTTTCGTCTTCCGAGCAGCCAACATCCTCTTTCATACAGGAAAGATTATCGAGAGAATTTGTCGTAGGTAGGTAGTTGAATGATAGGATCTTTCCTAAAGATTCTTATTTCATATGTATTACATTTTCAATATTATTTTATTCAATATTATTCAACTTTTAGGTTTATTATATTTTATTTATAAATGTTATTAAATCCTTGAAAATTGTATTGAAAGTTATCTTCGATGTAGAAGCTATTAGTTCTTCAAATATTAATTTTTCAAAAATTTCGAAATAGAGATGATATTATAGAAAAATGATAATATAATAAAACACGATTACAACGGATTAATTTCTTAATTGCGTGTAAGAGAAAGAGCAATGCATTTATGGTAAAACATGTAGTTGGCCGGTTTATTGCTTGCATCAGTTTCATCGAGTGTAACCGGTCGTAAAGTATTTTTCGAAGAAGGAACAAATTGGGACCGATATAAGAACAAAATGTTACGTTATCCTTTTAGTAATTATCAAAATAAAGTAAAGTTAAAAAAAATTAGATTTGATCGTTGAAAGTGCGAAATGATTCATGTTTAATTAATATATAGAGTTAGACACATTTTTTTCACGAGATTTCATTTTATCAGAGCGCGGCAACTTCAAAGTTTCATTTCCATGGAAACTTAGGAATGTTACTTTTCTAACATATCTTTCCCATATCACGTTAACATTATTTATGTGAGTCAAAGATATGTCGATAATTCCGTAGGCAAGCAATGACCGTGTAAATCGAACTCATGACTATTTATTCAGTTATAATCGTAAGAACAACCAACCGAAAGACCGAAGGCACCTTCGTTTTCTCACGACTCTCCCTTTCGTTCAATCTGCACACGTACTTGCTTACTACTTACGTACGTTATTCAGGGTTCGCTGAGCACGATAATTTGCAAGATTAAAATGGGAGATATTACTACAAAGGTAGTAGTGGATAATTCATTGAAAGATACGTTTAAAGGTGTTTCGAGATCTTGGAAAGGTCGCTTCGAAGAAACCAGTTAATTTTATTTATTTCAAAAAATGTACTTTTTTTTGTCTTATATGAATTCGATGCTAAGAATAACCACTCGATATTTTGGATGCTCCATTAGTCGAAGAGCAGACCTTTGAATAGCTCGTTTATTAAATTCTAGAGATTCTCTAGATAATGATATATGATAATAATGATAATAAAAAAAATTCTCTCGATAATGTTTTATTATTTTATTTCTTATTTTATATAAGTTATACGCTTCGAGATAGATAGAAAGAGGAAATGGTTTCCCATTTCTTAAATCGAAACTTTTTATGCGTGACATCGTTAGGAGGACACAACGATGGATGTTACTTATCGATACACACACATTTATATATATATATATCAGAGTATGCCGTAACTTAGTTTTTCTACGTAAAACATGGGACAGGTTTTTCTCCTGTATTAAGTAACGCCTGGCGTTCCGTTTCTTCTTCCAGGTTCTCTCGTTTTTTTACTTTTGATCGCCCAATGTTCAAAGCTATTTCTAGCTGGTTAAAACCGAAATACGTTAACATAACATACTGTAGGATAGATTCTTTTTCTTTCAGTTCTGATCGAATCGAGTTGAGTAAAAGTCTCATTAATATAATCATTATTTCGTAAAGTTAAATCAGAAATAACGGCTTTTAATTTCACCGGATGAACAGCACCTCCCATTGCACAAGGTCGTTCGTATGAATCTAAACGCACGTAAGAGAAAGGAAAGAAAGGAGAAAGTGAAAGACATTAGGATGAAGAAACATGACTGATAAGAATAAGAGGAAGAGTTGGAAGGATAAGACCGGAAAGAGAATAAATCATTTTCGAAAGATTGGAGAAACTTCTTCTTTGCTACGATGACATCCGAGGGTTGTGAAATTACGAAGAGTAGATAGTAAGCTACTATATATGTTAAAGTCGAAGGATGAAGATTATTATAACGGTGTCTTACGATCAATGGATCTTCTTTCGAGCTCCCGTGTTGCGGGTCGAAAAGTCAGGGTCGTTCTCTCTGTGCCTCCTTTGGATCTTTCTCAATCTCTTTTCTCATCGGATTTTCATACTCGTCGACCTTTTTTTTATCCATTACATATCTATTTTAGAAAATTGTCTATTTATATCTAGATGTATTTTATTTAACATTCAATATCGATTATTTCAATATCTGTCATAATAGATAAGAAATATTATTTCAATCTTATATATTGAAGTTCAGGTCAAATTCGTTTAAAAGAAAGTATTTTCTTTGAGGAAGTGTATCGAATGTAATCATTGCAACTTATCTTGCATGTCACATGCCATAAAACGATGCAAGTTACGTTTCCTCTTTTCTGTTTTATAAATGTGTATAGTATTAGTATAATAAATAAGAATTTTCTCTTTAGTGGCGCGTATGATTTACCATCGATTTATAGTTCTAGTAATTGTCAGGAAGTTAGTATGAATAAATAATATTATAATCGTTTAGGTTTATTTTAATTTCAGGATAGAAAGTTGGCACAATGAGGTATCTCATTTACGAATTATAATTGACATAATTGGAAGATTTTTCTTATATTTTAGCAATGTCTAGTTTAAAGTATCACTTGCGGTTCTTGTGTATATATGTTTGTATGTTTGTGCCAAAAATTAAATTTAATTTTTGCGGTTTATACTTTCTAAGATTGAATTAGCCATCGGCATGAACGATATAAGGATGTCATTCGTAGAAGACGTGAAATTTAACAACTATCAACGTACGGAAGACTTTCTACAATCATTATGAATGAGAATGATAGCTGTTGGACTGTCTTTATTCTTCCTACATACATACAAACATAGATATATACATTCAAAATACATTTACACGAGGAAGGAGTAAAACTTTCGACTATCACATCATTTTTCTTAAATTATTAATGTTCGGCAATGAACACATCACGTTTGTAAATTCGCTTTCAAGTTTCACTTAAATAGAAATGGAAAATAATTATAAATGCTATTAATCAGTGGTGTTCAATTTCACGAAAGAAATATACATAATTAATAAACAATTACTTTTCAATATTAAAAACTTTAGAAAATAAATAGGCAAAATTCAACAAATGATTGATCTATGTATTTTTTTATAACAACGATTTATACAGATGTTTAATTAAAATCATCGTATCGTATAATTAAAATCAATTCGTTAAAAGTTTGTTACTGCAGAAACGATACTCTATACGTGTTTTAATTCTCTAAACACGTAGCGAAAGCACGTGCAGCTATTACATGTTCATTCGTATTATAGAAACGTTTTATTACTACTACGAGAGAAGATCTATCCTTTATGTTACACTGACGTAATCAATACCTCGAACCTGACGCGCGTGTATTCTTAGCGTTTATAAGGTTGCTAAGCTATTGTTATTTTTCTACTTTCTCCGAAAAGAAAAACATTCCATAGTTTCGTTGATTGGCTTGAAAAACCTATGGAATTTCGTGCGATTATTTGTCAGTAATAAAGTTATTATAATAAAATTTGAAGAGACACACACACACACACATGACAGATAGAGTAAGTAAAAAAGGAATAAAAATAAATTAGAAAAAAAATTCGAATGGAAATCTTTCGGTTCGATGATCCATCCGGTCAATTAGAGAAATCAGCAGCCGCACGTTTAAACTTTCGATGCCCGTGAAAGCGGTCGTCGCGTGGATTGTTTTTGGGTCCAGCGACCGCGCCAACAGCCCGAGGTGAATTCTCTCTTTCTCATTCTCTCTTTTGTTCGATTTCAAGAAGAAGAGAAAGAATATACGAATATTATTCTCTGTTCTTTTCTTGTTAAGGATGAAAGGACCAACGAAGAAGAAGGGGGACGTTTATTCTCGTGACGGTACTGTTTTGCGCTCGAGTGAAAGTCCCCGCCGAGTCAAATATTTTTCGCGACTGCGTTTCGTGGACCCGTTCTGCCGATCTTCCTATATACGACTTTCTTAGCACCTACATATATTGATACTCGATACCTTCGATCGTGCGTGTTCAGTTTCTGTAACGTAAGATAAGGACACCGAGAGAGTTGTTTTATAACACTCGTAATGACAATTATCATGGATGTAATAACACTCGCGTTGGCTTAGCTTGATGCCATTACTGGAACTCCTTGAAAGATATCTACGAATGTGTTACGACAATGAGATAATGTTCTAGATTCTAACTAAGCATACTAGAAGATGGAGATATCGTTATGGGTTCTGCGATTTCACGGATAGTTTAAATGGAAATGAGAGAAATTGTTACAGGAAATAATAGGAATGTGTAACAAGAGTTTTGATAAACATCTCGATCGAGGATTCGATCGTCTCTCGATTCGGCTTTTGTAACGTCGATCGACATTCCAGGGTGCACTGTGTGTAATACGTAAACATCGAGGAGCGGGCCCAGCCACACGGTGACGGTGCCGACGTGAAAGTGCCCGCTGTTCGACGTACCAGAATGTGCGGAGTGCCGGCCGTCGTGACGACGTACACGCTGATATTCATGCTACTAGCTAATTGGAGTATTTCACTACCTACACTCCTACACTTCTATTGTTTTCTTCTTACGTCTATACGAATTAAAAAGTACCAAGAAAATGGCGTAAGCAATGTTACTTTTCGTTCATTGTTCCGTTCTATTAGACTTATAAATTATAACCATCGTCATCATACCACTGTACGATTACGTAGATATTTGTGATCGATTCGATCGATTTGCGAATTTAACGAAAATAGCGAAATTTACGGAAGAAGAACGACGTTTCAGATCGTGTTTATTTGGGCCATTAAAGAAAGCGTTACGAGGTCGAAAATTTTCTGTCGTCGAGAAGATAAAAAGAAGCGGAGTTATACGAGTCCTACGTATAATCCAACTGGGATCGACGTATATATATATATATATATATCTATCTAGTTATGTATATAAAGCACCTACGTGCGAATGATTTCGTGAACGGGGCAATGCACTCGACACCGCGGNATTCTTTAGGAGGAAGGGTAGAAAATATTTCCCAGAGAGAAAAATAACGAAGGATTTGTTCACGAGTAGAATGGGAGAAGTACCAACATATATACGTACCCACATTATACGTTACTACGTTGTTGGAATTTCACCATAAATGCATTTACATATATCCCAAGAGATCGTGCGACTTTTCTGTAACTTGATTTACGACGAGAGGTGTCGCGGAATATTCTATCTCAGCAACTCGTTAAAGGATACTCAAGGAATATGTTATCATCGTCTTGGCTATTTCGATAAAGTAAAGTAATTCGTCCCTCGAATTCTCTTGCAATTTAGTCGAATGATGATGTGCCAATGTTTATTTCTTCGATCGTTCAACGATACTTTACATGTGCATGTATGCATGCCATACGATACCGAGCAAAGCACGTTCGAGCTTTATCGTGGTCCTTCGTTTGAGAGTAAAACATTAAGAAAAAGGAGGTGATATTTTGTATTCGTGTCAGCTTATTTGGAACGTCCCGGATAACGTAACGTGAGCGGGCTCGTGCCTTCTTGCACGCACTGTCCAATTTCTTGCGTGAACATGACGAATGTGAAAGTAACCTTGAATTGCGGATCATCTGCCCGGATCGATAAATATTTCGGTGAAAAATACTTTCGGACTCATTCGATTCGATGACATTAATCGAAGAGCCACCAAGACAACAACAACAGCCAATCTTACTTTCTTCTTCGATTACGATCGATTCGATTTAATTGTCGTCTTTGATTACGTGATTAACGATTGATCGGAGCCTTTAATTATTTCTCTTTTTTGTGGAAGACTTTCTTGTCGAAGTTGCGTCGAAGATGTAGAACAAAGATAATCAATCGCGAGATCTTTTCTATTCGTGTTGCGTGTTATACAGGTATTACACATATAATTGATCTAATCCTTTCTCTTTCTTTCTTATAAAGAGGACGTATAAATCAATTATTGCAAAATATGTGTTATCTCTTGTTAGCAATAAATATTTCCCACCTTTTGCAAAAGTCTCTTGCAAAATACACACGCTAGATAATAGATAAAGATAGCGAGATAGATAAAAATAGAGAAAGAGAGAATGAGATAGCACATACGATAGACTCAAGAGTTCTCTCTAGTTCGCGATTACGCCATTGGTTAAGGTGTCTTAGTTATATGGATGAAAAGGTGAGAAGAAGAAGGGGATTCGACGAGGTGAGAATACGATAATCTCCCTCGTCGATTCACTCGCAGTGTCACGACGCATATGGATGTACACAGTGAGCCATTACGACACCCACGATGCTGCCAAGACAAAAGAGAAGGAGGAGCTCAAGGGAAGGAGAAGGATAAGGTGAAGGAGGTGAAGAACACCGGTAGGAGCTTGCGAGACTCTTTGGAATCCAGCTGTAGATCCATCGATCACAAATCGTAGCTCGCGTTCTACCTGCCGACGAGTCACGATGCGAACGTTTGATATTTCTCATTCTTCTTCAAAGTTTTGAGGTCGTTAAAGCGATCGCATTATAAAAAAAAAAAAATAAAAAACAAACAAAATTCTTTTCGCACGGTTCTGACGAAAAGGAAGTAATCACGCTGAGAACATTTTATTTTCTCTTTTATTTTCAACGACAAAATTGTTGTGAAACTAAAGCTCTTTGATTGAGAAAATAAAGGCAAGGATATAACGAGCGAGGTTTTTTATTGCATGACAAATCTTTAATATAAGTGTGTGCTGGATCAAGAATAAAGAAAATAGTGTCTTAACGATCTCTGTCAGAGATGAATTATCGTACGTTGATCTTTTAATTGTAAGAAGCGTTTGTTCTTTCACATGGGTACTACCGTTTCTCGTAGACACATGGCCCACGATCTCTTTGCGATACACGCTTTTACGATAATCAATCATCGTGCGTCAGCTCGAGCATAAATAATAGCATTCATGAGTTTCGAGTATGCGTACAATTTTGTATGTTTGCAACCATCAACCGATATATTTTGTGCTACCGTTTTTCATAGATTCAATTTTATCTATTTTTTTTAATCTTACAGTATCGTCTATTTTTCATTGATTATTTTTTCCCTTGACAAAAATAGTATTTCGTATGAAAGGTGACTAAGAACATCGATTATTCGTATGCATATAATTCGGTACATACACGAGAACGCAGAAGGAAAGGAAAATAATTGATTGTAACAAGAGCCGAGTGAGTTTACATAAATATTTTACAACTTTAAGGCCCAGCGTGTTGAACGTCGCGCCCTTGTATTGAAATTTGATTACAAATTTATCTTTTATTTGATCGACAGACGTTATTTAATCTCGATAGGTAATTAAGATTTACATCGTTTGGCAAGACTCGCGTCGTTTATCTTTTCCTCGGAAAAATACGAGTCCGACCACGCAAAAGTTGTTCGCGTCAGTGTTGAATAATCGTACGGTCTTTCGGTGAAAACACACCACCACCGTAAACCAGCAGCAGCTGGCCTTTTATGAGCAGCCACAAAACTCTGACCCGTGATCGTTCTACAACCATCATTATGCGGTTAACGAAGCTATAAATATACATTATAAACTATTTTCAGACAGCAAAAGCAATGAACTTTGCGTTGAACGTTTGAACGTGCAACCACGACCAAGATAGTTGTTGTTTTTTTAGGTGACAGGAAGATTAAGAAAAATGTCCCGATGTCGGTGATGACAGAAGAGAGAAGAAGGACCGTGCGTTACCAAAACGACGGTAGGTCGTTCTAAAAGAGCATGCCGCGGTGGTTACTCGCCCTGGACGAACCAGCATCCAACCCATGCGGTAGCATTGTTATCGGCCACGAACCACGGGGGTACGATCTCTCGACTTTCACGAAATTCTCTTTTATAGAGGATTCAACTTGTGGAGGACGCAACGGCGACCTTGTAAATTACGCGGCACCATTCGAAAGCTTACGTAATTTTACGAAGCAAAATTCACTGCTAAATGTTCCAAGGACGTAAGCGAAGATTATCAATTTCTCATAACAGTATTAAACGTTTCTTATTTTAGACCTTTTTTTTATTATTTTCATAAATTTACATTTTTCTAGATTATCGATTTATCTTTAAAAAATGAAACCTTGTTGTAAAGTGCTTTCCACCATAGTACATTTTGTCTGTTGGTCTTTACGTTCTTTTATCTCAATTTTTCCTCGCACCAAATCGACAGGTTTAATAATAATTAATCCTTCTTGTAACGAGCCATTTGACTCTCAGGTTAAACTGTTGGACCGTATCAGGGGATGCTCGAACGCGAGAAAGTCCGTACCGGTGCCGCAATCGCAACGGCCTTGACAGTTTCAACTGGGAACCGGATCATTCCAGACGGCGTCGTTTCATCCCTACAATTACCGAACGATCGGTACGCCTGTAACCCCGATAGCATTTATTCCCTATCTAGAAACGATCTTCACGAAGTCGAATGGTGAGAATTTTAATCAATTAAATTATTGTCTAATCTAACATAACTCTGACGAAATCACAAATTTTAAAAATTCTATTCAAACTCGTAGATTTTCTTTGTTTTCAGGGTAGAACCTGATTCGGTGGATGCTGAAGTATCGAGATTAGTAGCTGGATCCACGACAACGACGACAACGACGACGACGCGAAATAATCCAAGACGATGTTGCAGAACTTCGACGAGTTCAGGCTACTCGAGCCATTCGCCTCCTTTATCAGCAGGTTCCTATTCCTGTTACGCGTTTGCTGGACCTGGCCAGAGTATTTTTCGATCAACAGCTCCGCAATCTATGAAAGATCAGCTCGGAGGAGGTCTTGCAGTGATACACGAAGGCGAAGCAATTCCACGTCCCATTTGGCCGTCTGTCTTTACCAATGTTCCGCAAGAATTTTGTATCCACGATGACGGCAAAACCGAATACGATAGTGAGTAATTTGTGATATTGGTTTAACTTCTTTAAAGGCCAAATTGTTCATTTTATTTATGGCAAATCAGATAAATGAAACGTCATTTATATTCGATGAAAAAATACTTGGGTTTTAATTTCTGATTAAAAAGTAGTCAATATATAAAATTGCATACTCTTATCTCTTGAACAGTTTCGTAAATGGAAATAAATTTAGTGTGGGATTTAAATGAAATGTTAACGTACGTGGCAGAGGTCTTCAAGAGGTTAATACGTTTCACTCAACATGGATAAATATTATCGATTGGATGTTTTATAAATGAATTCCTTTTTTTATTTTATTTTTATTAGGAATGTACACGTGTTGCGGATGTGGTTGCACGTATACTTACTCGTGCTACGATTGGAATTACGGTCGAGCTACGGCTACGTCGGCACGCGAGATTCTTCTAGAATTATCTAGGACATTGAACTCCGTAATAGAAGGTGAAACGACGATGACACCCGAAGAGATTTTGCAAAATATCTCGAAAACCGTGGCTCAAGGTATAAGCTTGAAGAAGAATAGTATTTATGAGTACGTATGTTACAATCCAGCATGGTTGAATGGGGGAAAGAACACGTCGTCTATTCTGAGCAGTCAAAATTCGTCTCAATCTATGGGAAAGGATTCGTCGTCGTTGCAAAGTCGTGCGAAAAATTCTTCAAGCTCGTCATCGACGAGGGTAAATCCAGTTAATTCTAAAGTTTACGGTAGCACCCGTAAATTTCACAATTCGGCTTGGTCAACGTCTAGGTGTACCTGCGAACCATCAAATAAAATCATTGAATCGTCAAGACGTGAAAATGATAGACAACGATTGGATAAGAAGACTCCTTCTTCCACTACGGAGATTCATTGTCAAAAACCATTGGATTTGTGTACCTGTAAATGCTTTAAAGAATCTATTCAGCAATCTAGAAGGAAGTTAAGTACTTGTACCAGTGTTCATATCGGAGATAGCGGTAAACAGGCCAACGTCGTTGGACTAGGTGGTTTGAAACAAAATCGAAATGGTCTTGTTTCCGGTGAACCAGAATACACGATGGTGAGTTCGTATTGGTTTGACGATCAAAGTTAATGAATTGAAAATAGTATATTTTTACGATGTTCATTTTATTTTTCTAACGGACAAGTTTTCTTATCTTTATGTGACCGGTTCCATTTGCAATAACTTTCACGTAGTATAAAGTCAGAAGGTGTAGGTTGAACGTGAACGCTTTTTTGCTATCGAAATTGAGTTGGTGTCAAAGTCTGCTTGCTTCTTGATGTTATCCGGTTGCAATAATTTTATTCGCATAACAAGTTATCGCGTACAATGTCGATGTAACCAACGTGTAAAGAGCGATGTTTCAGCAGCTGGAGTCCAGTGACGGTGGTTCCTCGAACGAAGGGATAGTCGTGCCATCGACGAAAGGTACCTGGAATCATCGCGATACGAGGGGATTCGTCGGCGATTTGGATTTCACGTTGGATGTCACGCGTGCCGAACGTTTGGGTCGAGCTATTGCGAAAGCGAAAAGGAATCGGCAATGGTGCAGAATTCTGACTACCTTATTCGGACTAGTCTTCTTTGTTTTAAGTGTTGTCGTTGTCTCGTTGTCGGTTACAAGAGGCCGAAAAGTTTTTGGAAGTATGTGAACACAACAAATTGTTCTTTTTCTTTTTATTTTGTATTTTTTCTTCCCGTTGTTGAAGAACGAAAATGTCTTGCGACTGATACTTTTTGCTAAGTACGTATATATTTTTCAGTACCTTATACCAATTAAGTCAAATAATAATAATAAAAGAAACAAATAAATATACAAAATAAACAAAAATCCGCAGGGTTCATATAAAGGGGTCCTGTGCAAGCAATATATGGCTGTGACCATGTCCTTGTATATTTTGTATTAAAATGATGTTGTGTGTATTCCGAAAAAAACAAGCGCATTTAAATAAAGAAAAAGTAACGATAAAAAGATACGATTACATCCTCTGGTGAACGGAACACGATTGTGGTGTACGTTCTGTTATCTCACAGTATAATCTTTAATGGTCGAAAAAGAGTCAGGTACAACCCATCATCCCTCCTTCTCTTTCTCCTACAGTTAGAAATACATTTTCACAGTTACCCCTACCTACTCGTCTACGTTGATAAATATACTCTGGCAAGTAGATCGAACCTTCATTAGAATCGACACGAGGACGGTATCTCGTCTCGTCTCTTTTACGCTTGAGAGAAATTCTCAGCGTAAGTAGAAGGAAGCAAAGTCGATAGAGGAAGAAGAAAAATTGGAGAAAGCTGAAGAAGAAAAAGAAGAAAAATTGAAGGGCCGGATTACAGTAAAGTATTATCGAAGCATTACCGAAGAGTAACTTGTCGCGGAAATCGAGGCTCAAATTGAAATAGATCGATCAGTAAATAGATCGAGCATTCGGAAAGTACGAGAAGGGACACGGAGAAGCCGTGTATTTGCGTCTTGTAAGTCGAGCGTCGTTGATCGAGTCTTCTGGCAAAGCTCTTTGTGACACCGTTTCGGTGGACTGCTCAAGCCGGGCCGTTGCCCGGGCGCGTTTCCTTGCTTTCCGTTCCGTTCCGTTCCGTTAACTTGCGCGTTTCGTTGCTTTACACTGGACGAACGAAAGCTTCATTTCTTTCTTCGCTTTGCTCTCGCAACTTCAGTCGTCTTTGAATTCAGTGATCAACGTATTCTTGTCAGTGTGCTCTCTCTCGCTTGCACTATTTATCTTTTATTTCTGGCAAGTACTCATCATTTTCTACTTCTCTCTCTCACACACATACACACACACACACACACACACAGATATACATATATACTTTCGTGAATTATATCGGAAGAACGATAACTCACGTGTGGACAGACAATATCGCAAAAAGCTTACGTAAGGTAAAAGGGAAGGGATGGGATCTCTTTTCACGTGACTGATACACTGATTCTGGATACTGTGAAACATTCTTAAGATATCGTGCGCTTTTAGGATCATCTCATTTTAATGGAATAACAATTCGAACGATAGCGTTTGGAATTAATGAAAGAGAAGAAGAATCAACCGTTGTTGGATGAAGAAGAGGCTGTTGACTTGGGACGTAAAATAATTTTCTTCAGGTTGATGTAAATTAAACTCGTAGGTTTTAAACGTGATAACACGAAATAACACACGTGAGAGTTTGGGGTAAGGTGTAATAGGAGATAAACATATGAGATCGTGATTTAAATGTCTTTATATAGAAGACTCACTTGCAAGGGATATGCAAAATAAATTCGTAAGCTTAGATAGTAGATACATAGAGAGAATGTTTTGTTGTAATATGAATAATGATAGACAATTGCCGTGTGTCTTATTTATCTCTCACTTATACTAATGACGACTACATTCGCGCTTGCTTACGTCTATTTCCGCGTACACAAGACGAATTGGTCGAGTCAGCAGCCAACGAAAGGTCGATAAAGATTTTTCCTTTTTGCGTGCAACTACCGAGATGCTTCACTTAAAAAAGAAGAAATCAAATAAAATACATTTTTCTTTCGATAACGATTGATAACTAATTATTTTGATATAAATTTAGAGATAAAAGATATCACAAATATGTCGTGAAAATATTTGAAGATCTGTTTACTCTTATATATTTTTGTTCTCTCATTCCTCCTACGCTGGATCTTGGTAAACAGGAAGAGAGGAAGAAATGGGTGATTAAAAATAGATTAAAAATAGATTAAAAATAGGACTTATGATGGGCTCTTCGCATGAGTAGTTATTTGCTGTGCATTTTTGTTTTAACGATATCATATCATTTCCGTCAAACGTTTCCATGTTTACGTGGGCAAACGCTTTAGTATAATACTCAACTAATATATACTAATCTTATATAAAACGTAATTTCAGATGTAGAGCAGCATGGCGATTAACATTAAATTTACAAAATTCGATAACACGGCATGGGGCTTTCGACTAGCGGGTGGGAGCGATTTTCCCCAGCCATTGACTGTCATCAAAGTATGTATCTTTTTTTAATTTTTTTTCCTTTCTGTTTAATCATCGATCAAATATTTCAAACGTTTGAGGTAAATCGATCTGCGCTTTTTTAAAGACGATCGAACTCGGCTTTGGCATTTGACGTTATTTCGAGCCAAAAGTAGTGTCATCCAAAAGTTGTGCCAAGTTTGATGAGAACGGTTCACACCGATTCCTGACGTTTAATTAAAAGTGCAATGGTCGATTCGCGAGAACTTCTACGACCCATATATTTTCTATTCGAGAACATTTACGTCAATTAATCAAATTTAAATGCATATTTTCAAGAATCGATAAATTTCTCTTGGCTGTTCTCTTTTGCAGGTTAACGAAGAGAGTCTTGCAGAATGTATGGGCATAAAAGTAGGCGATGTTGTCGTAAGATTAAACGATCAACCGATCAGCGGTTTGACGCATGGACAAGCACACGAGGCTCTCAAACTGGCAGGCAACAATTTCGTTCTTGGTGTACAAAGGTAAGCATTTCCATTAGGAGTTCAACACTTTCTCGATACGAATCTCGATACAATAATCGCGTGTTTTTATGTGTGCTCATTTCTTTCACCTCGAATCCAATAATCAAGGGAGTTTTCTGAACAACCACGAGTCTGGAAAAACAAGTCAAAGTGCACACTTGCTTGTCACTCTCTCTCTATCTTTCTCTCTCTGGTTTTATATATAATCCAAAGTAGCCAGAATATCCCGGTGCGTACACAAGGGTCTACGTGTGGCAATGTATTGCAACCAGTTATAAATAGGTGACCCAGAATGAAATCTGTTTATCATTGGTCGCTGGCGATTTTATTACTGGCTTTTCATACCGCACTCGCGCTACCCCTCCCTCCTTCTCTCTGCCGATTCTTCATTACCTTTTCGTTCGCGCTCGGGATCACACGAAAAGGAAAAAACAAAATTTAATAACGTCTGATCCTCGTTCATATTTAAAGAGGAAGTTGTAAGTCAAAATCCCATGGGATTTTAATAACGTGAAACACGATATTTGTATCAACCTTTTTTTTCTTTTCATTTCAGAGAGGGAGAAGGTTCGCGTAAGGCTCTTGAAGGTATATCGGACGAGAACATTGTCCCGTATAATATTCCGGTAAGTTCTTGTTTTATTTCTAAACAAAAAGATAAATCCAAAAAATTTTGGTCAAATTGGAACGTTCAATTTTGTCACAGCTAGCAGATTTGCCGCCAGTTTTCCCGGAGAGAATATTATCGGAAGAAACGGTATTAGAGCAACGTGAAATACCGATTGAACGTTTACCAACACCGGAGAAGGTTGAGGAATTGCCTGACAAGCCGAAAGACGCCAATAGCGAGATTATACCTAATCAAAATCTCACTGACGAGGAGATCGCGCAGTTGATTCTCGAGGAGGAAGAATTGCTTCCTGACAAGGGTGTTTTAGGGTAAATTGTGTGCTTTTTTCAATGATAAATTTGAAAAGATTTGTATATAGGATAGGTTTAATCAACAGGGTAAATTTCAAGAAGTTGAGGCCACGTGCGACAGCTTTGAGAGATTCTAAGGTCTTGGAGGAGCTTCAAAACATCGCCACAGCTCCACCACCGGACATAGAGGAACGTCATCACGTTTCAACCTTTTTACAGAAGCCGAATCGACCAATACCAAAGGCTAAACCTCGCGAACCAGACGAGGGAGAACCGTACAGAGTAGTTATAAAGAAGCAGTCGAAGAAAAGCGTGATAGCACGCTTGGTGGAGAAGGGTCTGATACCACCTGGAAGCCTCGACACGCCTGAACCAACTTCCGAGGTAAACATGTACGCCCTCGAGAAGTCTAACGAAGAGTCTAATGAAATTGGGAGAGCCCTCTCTCACGAGGACAAGATTGATCTCCTTAAAACTCCTCTACCGTGTTCGATCCAATTTAACGACTCCCCAGACATCGAAGAGGACACTACTCTCGATCTCGTATCCATTAAAATTTCTGCTACTAATCCTCGTCCTCCCACGTGTCTTCCTTCTCTAACCATACGACGATCAGTGATCCAACCGAAACGTTTTTACACGAGAGCTCGTTACTTCGAGAGATCCCTTCTCGGATATCCTAAGAATTCCGACAGAATCACTTTAGCCTATCTTCTCGAACTCATTCTGGGAAAATCTTCTCCCAACGGGACGTTCGGAATAATAAGAAGAAAGGGTCGTTACATCGAGACCTATCTCGAACGAGAGGACACCTGGTTCAAATCGATATTCAAGCTTTTCTTTGCCAAGAGAAACGATATTACCAAGGGAAGAAGAAGAAGATTCGGTAAGCCACGATACGCCGAACGACTCCTGGCCAATTCTCTTCGAGGAGAATTCCTTGAGAAAAGGAAGACCACTACGGGGATGCAAAAACGGCGCAGGCTCTGTCCTAGAGCGAGATATTTCGAGCGCGTCCTTGCAAAAGACGTACAAAAATTGATCGAACTTATCAAGGAAATTTCTATTCCCGTAGATTTAGGAAGATTTTCCATTGGCAGGGAGAAGAAAGATGGCAAAGTGAGTGGTGGTAGGCGACGCTCGAGTTTGATTAAACTCAAGGGTCGATACTTGGAGCGTTGTTTAGCTTCGACGTTAACAGGTCTTGTCGAATCAACGAGACGTCGATCGTCGGACGGACAACTCGATTTCTCAACGAAGGTTTCTCGTTCAAGAAGATGTTCGTACGATCGGGCGCACTACGGAGAACGTGCGATCATACGTAATCTCGAGATTCTCGGGAACCTGGCCGAGAAGGCGACCTCGAAGATCCTTGGTTGGCGTGAAGGTCGGCCAACGAACGGCGACCTTGATGCATCTCTATCGAATTCGATCTCATACGATTGCGAACCGGCAAACGATGAGGACGTGCTCCTTGAGAACGAAGAGGAAAGAGGAGGCTTTTCCAAGTTCTTACGATCCACCGGCGAGTTCGTCTCCGCCGAAGTGTTTCATCGTGGTGCCAGGAGACTATCGAGATCGTCCAAGGTCGTCAAGGTCGACTCCCCCATGGAATCCACCGGCTGGCTCGGTTCACTCGCTCGACTCTGTGGCCTTGACAATGGCGTTCGTTTCTCCGATGATAGCTCCAAGACGTGCGACCAAAAGATTCTTGATCGTCAAAACGATTACGAAGCTCGTCGAAGGTTGTCATTCGTGCCTACCGTACTTTACAAGGGCCTGACCAATCACATCGGCGTCGATTTTACCAAACTCGTAGCCTACACTTTCATTCCCTGTGCGTCCGTCGTTTTGTTGTACATGTATAAGTAGACGATCTATTAGAAAAATCTACTTTAATTTTCATTTCAATGTGTCTTAGGGCGAAACATAAAATCGGACTGTTTTATGTTTTAATTTGAAAATATATTTTCGATATTTATGTTTTCGCACATTCATTCATCGACGATCGGAACAAGATACTTGTCATTAGAATTCCTATAAATGCATTTTAATCGACACCTTTGCATTTCGCTTTTCGAAACTTTATTTAGATTAGGATTTAAGAGTTGTCCTTTTTCTCAGAATAAATGAACGAAAAAAAATAATCGTAAAAGTAGGAGGAGTGTAAAACAGTAGTACGTATCAATGTATCTCGAAACGTGCGTTTATGTTTCCCTTAACCCCGTATAATGAAATATATCAATTTCAAATAAATCATCGTCTTCCCAGTTTGATAATCTTTATGTTTTGCATGTCTCTATGCGTTTTTCTCGTCGATGTTACTAAAAATATATACACACATCTATACACCGACACAAATAGAACGCTCATTGCACAGACCTCACAAAAAAACGCACATTTCCAGATGTAATCCGATTAGCATTCGATCGTTCGAATTAGATCGAATACTAATTGCCAACTGGATCAATTAATAAATGAGATTGTGAGTCGTGTCGTAACCGTGTTCTTTATTTATTAATCAAAGATACAAGTTAGCCATTAACACATAGAGTATACATGCAAGAGGGATAATAATTGTGTCCACTGTATTCTTTTTTATATATAAATATAAAATGCATCTTCTTGCCTCTTGCATAAATTCTATTTGTTTTTGCACGCAACGAGATAAAAGTTCTTTTCCAAATTGGAAACTAGAAATTGTTGTATTCAGGCAACGACCCCGGCAGGGACTCCGGATTTAACTGGCAGATCGAGCGGAGCTAAGACACCAAATTCGCGTCCGGAATCAAAGTTGGAAGTGCTCGAGAGAACGCAAGACGTGACCACTGAGAAGATCGAAGAAGTTACTATCGAAGGAAAAGATCCGAACGTTCGTTTGGAGGATCTTCAGGAGAAGAAAACTGTTGAGATTGAGGTAGAGAAGGTAGAGGAGAAGGAGGAGGAGAGAAAAGAGGAAAAAGAGAAGGAACAGGAGCAGAAACAGAAGGAGGAGGAGGAGGAGAAGGAGGAGGAGAAGCAGAGTAGAAGGGAGGAACCAATTCTTGCTGGTATCGAGAGACAGATGGCTGAAGTTGCGAGCAAGGTCGATCGGGAGAAGATTAAGGAGCTTGTGAGGACGGAGATAAACCTCGAAAAACAACTGGAGAACGTGCAGAGCCAGTTGCTAGCCCTGAAGCAATTACCCAGCGAGATTGAGAATCACCTTAGGGTCGTGTCGGAGCAACTGAGGGTGATCATGGAGTTGAGCGGCGTTCAAAACGGAGGCAGCACTGTTAGCAGTCGTCGTGGATCGGCAGGTGAAAATCAGCCTTGATCGATTTTATTCACTTTCCATTCCAAAGTCGATGAACGAGATTTCTGAACACTAGCCAATTCGCGACACACACGACTTCCATTGCCAAATCGTCCAACCACTCATTCTGGATCACGATTAAATGATCTTAAGCGATTTTTGTCGGTAAACGGGATCGTCATTGGGAGGAAATGGGTTGATACATCTAATATGCATTTTGCTTAGAAGTATTTTTACTGTTTATAAATCCCGTTCAATGGAATTTCGTGGGGCTTGGACTCAATATTTCTCAAATGCTATTTTCGTCTTGTTTACTTATGAATATCTTTAAATATAAATGTATATTCGGAAGGTTCTTGCTTTTACGATAATGTTCCCAAATTACCTTCGAATCTTTCAAGCTTCAATTTGTCAAAAATTTGTCATTGACATTTCCAGAAATATACACTCATATTCTATTATTGACTAAACTCGTGTATTTTCAGAAGAGGAAGCCGCCGCTACAAACCAATGTCCTCGAGAAAGGAAAGAAGAATCACCACCTAGAACGGAAGACGTTAAAGAAAATACCAAAGAAGAATATGACGTGCGATCTGAACGACCATCGACTGCCATGTCGCAAGAACCACCACAGATAATAGAACCGGCTGAGGATGATGAAGAAGAAATTGAAACGAGAGAATTGGATGGTACGATTTCTGTAAAAAGTAGCGATGATGAAGGTGGTAGTAGGGTCAAGAAATTCGTTGTTTCCTACGAGACCAGAGTGTCGAGATCGAGAACCGCGAGTCCAACACCTTCTTATGGTAAATATGCATTTCATTTTTTAACTCTAACTTATAAACTTAATTACCATTACCTTTCTATTACCAACGAAGCATGTCCACCTGAAATAACGAGGAACTATAGTTATTTTACCTTCTTATGCACCATTATAGGTAGTTTTGAACCAGATCCAAACCTGTCGCCAAAAGATCAAGTTATTCAGGAGTTGCAGGTATACGAATGAGGGATATGAGGATATTATGTTTCACTGGAATGTATATTTTTTTTGTGTTAAACGTTTTTGGAAAATATTTCCAAACATTTTTGACCATGCATTTTATACCACGTTCACTGTTCAAACAGTTCTTCTTGTCGAACTATCTCCCTTTCGTATCGTATTTAACGTTTCCAATAGAATTTCATTTTTATGATTTTCTTAGGTTAATCTATAAGATAGATTTATAATAAATAATATTTTTTCCCATGTGGCACGTGCAACCTTGGAACGTCTACAATCAAAGATTGTATTCTCTATGTGTTCTCGTATTTAAATACACACCTGTATCGGACGAATTCTTTCTAATACATTTTCTAATTCGTGCATTAAATTTATAGTACAGGAAAGGAAGAAAACATTCGCAAGATCTTTGGCCCCAGGCTAAACAATTGGAGTTAACATTCGGTCGTAGATGGAGATGTCCAAATGATTTCTTCAACGACGAGATGATAGCCGAAGTATTATCATCACAGGCAGAAGTCATTCGTGGAAAAGCGTTGGGGTAATGGAGGTTACTAATTATCGATTAATCGTACATTTCATCTAACCAAATGTTCCATTTATTCTCGAAACGTTTATACTTGCAGGGTAAACTTTAAGAAATATGAGAAAACAAATCTACCAAACTACGATCATCTGATGAACTCAAGTGTCTATAAGATGATTCATAAGATGGAACGCGAGCCGAAGAAAGGTATACCTGCGAGGCCTCCCAAAGTAAACGCTGCCGAGGACATAATTGAGAGAGTCGTAAGTTTTTAATGTAAATTCAGATGACGGGAAGCCTGCTGAGACAAACGATTCTTAGTTAATGAAAGGCAAGCGAGTTTCTTGCACGTATCAGCATACATGCATACGTACCACAGCAAAGCTTTTTTTAATATCTTTTTTAGAGATCACCGGCGTTCAGCCTTGCTGATGACAGAAGTACTCGAAGTATTAGTCACTAATGGAAGAGACGTCAACTTGAATGAGATCATCGAACGTCGTCGCATCGAGTATCGAAATAAAGAAATGAAAAGCAGTCGTGTCGCAAGAGAGAACCAACCGATGAAAGAATTTTTCGAAGGCAAGCAACCAGACAGAATGTCATCAAAAATCATTTCAATTATCGAACGTTAATTTATCCAATGATTTTACATAAATACGTAGAAGTATTTGATCGTTAACCATAAGATTAAAAATGCGATCGAGTGTAAGAGCACGTGTGTTCTGCACACATACCCTTATATACACCCATAAATACATAATTACGTATTTAAGCGCTTTCTCGGTTTAAAATTCGATTAAGGATTAAGTGTATAACGTTAATAAAAGAAAAATTCACTTTGTACACGTTATCACGTTACCTATTTTAGGGACATTTCGTTGTCCGACGATAAAAGAGGAAATACATCGGTAAGTAATTAAAACAAGTCAGCGTTTATAATATTCAAAGTTTCATCGATTCTTGGAACCAATTACAAACTTAAATGTGATATTTACCATATTGGTCTAAAGTATTTTTTAATTACTTTATTTTTTATTTAAATTCATTAACCAATTCAGAGAATAAAAGCAACGACCTTATTCCGCGGTTTGCTTACAATATTGTAACCGCTGATTAATCTTATCTACTCGGAAGCTTTTAAACGATTGTTCGAGTTGTTCTTATTAGATATTTCACACCTTTCTAAATAAAAAAGATTTAATCATGTCGATTATCGTAAGAAAACTTGTGAAAATGTAAAGCAGAAACAACTAATCTTAAATTTGAAAAGAGAAAACATTTGGAAGTAAGATACGTAATCGTTAGAGGTCCTCCAAAAGTAGGCTAACCGATGACGTATATTTCGTTGTTGGCACTGACAGAAGCTACGTCAGCGAAATAATCAGAAGTCGGTGAGAGAACGGAGAAGTAGAAGAAGAAACTTTTGCCGTTCGATGCCGGAGGCACTTCCGGAGGTGATTCCGCTACTTCCTTGGATGAGTCTTGCGTACTTACTTTCACCTTTCCGGGATTACCGAGAAGTTCCTTCACTTGGTTTCGTGGTAACGCGTATGATCCGCGCTGAGTCACGTCTACCTTAACGTCCGCTCCGTCCTGCTTCGTCCCCTTTTACTTTTCTTTTTCTTTTTTTCTTTCTCTTCCTTTTTTCTTTCTTCTTCTTCTTCTTCTTCTTCTTCTTCTTCTTCTTCTTGTTCTGGTGGAGCAGTTAGTAGACGATGCCGGTGCTTACGCTCCGTGAGCGTGACGTCGGCTCCGAGCAATTTATGTAAAGCATTCTAGGCATGATTCACGAACTAGTTCGCGCCCTCGTGACCGCCACCGGCGCAGAATGCAGCTACGAAGAGGAGAAATAGAAAAAGAGAGAGAGAGAGAACCATGCAACGGTTCAACCGCCGTCGTCGTCGTCGTCGTCGTCGTCGTCGTCGTCCAGTCGAGTCGAGCACCTAGCCGTAACTTGCACCTGGGATGATGCAGGTCTCTCTCCCTCTCCCTCTTTCTTTCACTTCCTATGAAGTTTAACAGTCCCCAGATCCGTCTCGTGTCTTCCCTGTATTTCCAACTATCTTTCAAGAAGCTCACCCTACAGATAACGACCATCTTAAACTGATAAAGAAGTTAGATAATCATATACAAGAGAAACATTCAATTTCAGTTCATTCACAGTATATTTCCGTTTTGTAATATTGAACTAAGATAATTTTTATTTTCCAGAGTTTTTTGAAGATTTTTTGGGTGCGGAGAATCTCATCACTTGATGGAAATTCAATGCCAAGTATGATACGTCAATAAGCAAGTTAAACAGGATAAAAGAAATGTTCGATATCATGGAAGAATTTATTTAACGGCTGTTCATCCCATTCATGACCCCGGATGACCCATTGACGACAAGGAACGATGACTAAGGCGTTCCTCGTCCACCCTCATATCGCGGTAGGATCTTCCAAATGGCTAGGGAAGATACCAGACGTGTTTCTGTATTTAAGTACGTTCCTTTTATTGTCGCGGATGCGATACATGCACAAGCTAGTATCCGGTAACGTCGATTCATATGACTTCGCTTTTGCATACATTTTCGTTGTTCATATGCCGAACGGAATAAAAACGAAGAAAAAAAAGGCTAACAAGAAGAAACGTCGACGATCCTGACACTTACATTTTTCTCTTTTATTTTATTATTATTATTATTATTAATAATTTCTGACGAACCTCGCGTGAAATCGCATAAAAGGAAGGAAAAAAAATAAACGTATAAAAGTGCGAACGCAGCATGTCGCATAGATCGGCAAAAGTGTTCTTGTTTGCGAAGCTACGGGAGGAGATAGGAAAGAAGAAGGAGAAGAAGGAAAAGAAGAAGAAGAAAAAGTTTTCGAAGGAAAAGGAGCAAGTAAAATGTTGAGAATGTCGAAGTAGCAGGATCGTCGTTGTGTCGTCGTCGTTGTCGTTGTTGTTGTTGTCGTTGTCGTTGTTGTTGTTGTCGTTGTCGAAGGAAGAAGAAGCAGAAAAAGCAGAGGAAGAGGAAGATGTTCTATCTCTTTCTGTTGTAGCATCCATATATACATATATACACACAAGAGGTTCCCTGTCCCCCCTCGAGGATTGGACGGTATTCTGCTTCGTTCCTCCACTCCGTGATTGTAGCATTCGAAATCGCACGTAAGGCCCCGCTGGCCGAGTGACCGTCCTCCGCTACCTTTACTCCGGCCTGCGCGTTCTTCGGGAACGTTTGTGCCGTTCCTCTTTCAAGAGCGCGCGCTGCTCCCTCCAGTAAGCTCCCGAACGTCGATCGACGAGGATCGAGGAAGAATAATATAAAAGATACATCGGTGTGTTAACGTGTTATTACACGAAGAGGAATAGTTTCTTTTTTTTTTCTAATCAAACACACGCACGTACTGCAATCAGACAGATCGAAGAATATATTATTATTCGCTTTACGTGAATAATTTTTTAATAGTCGAGATATCCTCTACGTTATTAGAAAAAAAAAGAATAATAATCGTCATCGTCGTCAAATCGTTCTCTAATTGATTTTTTATTTAAGAACGTTAGGATTTGAATTTTTCGTTGTTCCTTTTGGAATTGTACCTCGATTTTGAAATTGGATAAGATAACGTAGTAGTTGTCGGCGAAGAAGAGAGTTACCTTTTTTTTTGGTTGTTATTGTTATTAAGAGAAAAGGGATCAAACGAGTTCAGTGATATGGCACAGCTGATAAGCGTCAAACTTTCCCGCTTCGATGGATCACCATGGGGATTTCGTCTTCAAGGTGGCAAGGATTTCGGTACACCGTTGATCGTACAAAAGGTACGTTTGCGCATTATTATTTCTTCTAACAATGTATACGTATAATTCAAGGAGTTTACGAGATATCGGTTGGATATATTTGTTAGGATAGAAGGCGTGTCGGTGAATTGAAGATTAAGCGATGAAAATTTGTAGTGCGTAGAAGGCTCTATTAACGCCAAGTTGTTTCCATTTACTCGAGCTACCGTATCTAAGATATAATAACAAGCTCTCGTATTCGTATCTTAGGAAATCCGGTTGTAGACAAAATTATCCTCGCGAATGTGGAAAGTCGAACGACACCGCGACACACGACTGGCGCCTAGTTTTTTTCAATTCTCGATCAAGGATCTCTCGAGCTGCACGATTTAACTGATCCTTTTCAAATCTCTTGAATATAAAATTTATCGTATTTTCTTTTTTTTTTACAACGCGCGTGCATACATCTCTTTAGTCATATCAAATAGTTTCTCAACAAAATCATCTTCGTCATTAACAATCGAAACTAAGAAAACACACGTTTTTGTGTCTCAAGTTTGTTCAAAATGTAATTAGGATTATCCGTTTAAATGTGTGTATGAATAATCGAAAGCCATGGTCACGAGTTAAAACGTCGGATTTGTTTTTGTCATCCCACCCTTTACATCATCATCAACATAACACAAGTTAAGTCAAGTCAAGTCCGTGTAAAGTTGACGAAGGAATTACGTAAGTTACGTAGAGTGGTAACTAACGCCAAATTATTTCACGCGCATCGGCAGAAATCGTTGCCAAGTACGCGCGAAACGCTCGGCTCGTCGCAACAACCGTCGTCGTGTTTTGGCGACGAAACGAGTTGGTAATACGAGATGCTTTTGGCCCATGTTACAACGAGACGAAAGGGGGATGGATGGATCGATCGATCGATCGATCGATCGATGGATCTCGCGAACGAGATCGTTGAATAAATCTCACCATTGAGAAAGGAGGATCATCTTCTCATCATAGTCGACAGACTAGAACGAATGATCGCATTTGAACTTGAAAACTATACTTTAAAATAGTACAAATTCATTGAACACAAGAACAACGATTAAGGATTAGTTTAGTCCACCATAAGATAGTATAAGATGAAAAAACCCATTGGATATTTTTTGTGTTCGTTTATACAATCGTATATCTGTAATCGATGTTACGAACTTGGCCTTCTTCTTAGCGGTGCTCCGTTTATTTTACGATGCCGCAAATACGGCCGTCTATTCCGCCCTCGGGCTTTCTCGGAAAGGAGAGAAATATGAGTGCGATGTAAGGTTTTGCCTTTGAGACACCCACTCAAAGAAGAACAAGAAGAATATTACTCTTTGCAAACGTTCTCTTTCTTTCCTTTTTTTTTTCATTCGTAAACTCTGCACATAATGCTAATCGATTAATACGAATAAAAGATAATAAATAATTCAACGATATTTATCTTTACGAGATTCTTAACGAACAACTAACCGGTTAATATTTTTTTCTTCGAATGAAATCAATTATAAGAAATATGATATAAAAGATTCAGAAAATGACGGAAGTAGAGTTTAAAAGTCGAAGTAACTTATCGTCAAAGTAAGGAAACGTAAGGGAGATGGTGGAAGGGAGGGCAAGGGGAACCGACGCGTCGCTGGTAATCCGAGGCAAATTATTTGGGCGTTCTATTTCTAGAAGGTGCCTTTGCGAAACTCGCAAGCCGGGTCGAGCCCCGCTCGACGACGACGACGACGACGACGACGACGACGAAGCTCAGCTTCGTGCGAATCTCTCTATTTATCTACTTATCTTCCTCTTTCTACCTTTCTTATTTAGATATAATCTTTCCTCGCGGAAGTAAATATAATCGTTTCTTAAGTCAAAACAATTTTGCAAGAAATGATTTTTCAATTTCGTGCAGATTCTATTCAACGTAATCGTTACGATCGTACGAGAAAATATAATAGCTTGTAAAATGCATACGTTTTCTCATTTCAATCTGCCCTAGTATAATATCATCACGTGTCCGATCCGAGAAAGAGAGAGAGCTAGTTTCGAGTCCAAGATGAAGTTCTAATAGACGCCTTTTGACATTTATCTCTGACAAGCGAAGGAAGTTTACGGGTGCTCGTCTAACACATCGTTCATTCTAAAACGGATGCTGTTCGCGAATTATCGATTAATAATATAATACTTATATTGAATGAATTATATCTCTAATCCAGTTTTCAAATTCAATTTATTTATTTGCCTATAGACGATTTGCCTATAGCCTTTTTTTTTTTTTAAACTAATCGTTAGCGAAATGCAGAAGTTACGTGTACGGTCGTTAATAATCCAAGGCCAAACGAAGCGATAAACAAAAGTGTGTTTAGTTTTACGGAGCTAATCACAATTTCGCGGTTTAACAGAAAAAATGAAAAAGAGCCGGAAAACTAACCGACCATGTTTTTTAGTTTTAATAAGTCTACAAAATCATAAATTAACTTATGTTAGAGTTGAGTAAATATATGAACAGATGCGAAAGAAGTAGCGAAGCTAGAATAGATAAGATCTGAAGAGAGAGAGAGAGAGAGAGAGGAAATTTATCTTTCCTTTATACTTTATCGTAATGTTTAGTTTACCGGTTGTTTGTTTTTTCCTTTTTTTTCGCAAAGAGTCAAGGAAAATAAAAAAATAAAAATCACGTTCGTTCATAACTTAAAAGAGTAAAAATTGTATTACAGTGAACTCGTATAGTATAGTATAGAAGTGAATTCGTAGTCTTTTCATTCGTCCAAACTGCAATGCAAGTTTCCGCGATTACGCTAGGCGCGATGCAGTTGGCGTAACGTGGGCGCTCACTTGCGTGTTATGCGATATTTCGTTTGGGGACGATGCACATGCTTAGAATAAACATTATCGCACATCGAGGAAGAACTCGTTACTAATTCTATCGTTCGATTATGGCCTCGTTCATTTGATAACGTTGCTTCTCTAACGTTACTGTTTTCAATTAACATTTAAAAAAAAACAAATATGATACGATATTTCCGTACCGGTTGTGCTTGACAACGAGAGTTCTAAATTCAATATAAATTATCTTACGCGCGTTTAGTTTTTATCCTCAAAGACATTCTTACTAGCTCGTAGAATGATTAGAGATCAGGAAGAATTTCGTTCAAGAGAAGCGCACTTGACATTACACACAGCTTTCGTCTCTCTTGGATCAAAATTACGCAATGAAGAAGAAAGAGAAAGAGAGATAGAGGTGTGTGCGTGAATAAGAAATGGCGCCAAGTTTAAATACTCAAATTCGTTGGAGAGAGAAAACAAGCTTACGTTCTTCCTGCTTCGTGCCAAGAGGAAAATCGAAAATTTCAGATAAGATAACAAGATAGAATTTTTCTTCTTATGATCTACAATACGAAAAGAGAATCAGAGTAAACGTTAAAGAATTGAATCTGTTAAACGAGAGTTCCTTCCGATAAAGGTTAATACACGAATGTGGTAACAGCTGGTAAACTGCCAACACGTGGGTGGTTTAACGCAAATATCGCGTTTATATTACTCAGCCTAGTTAACATTGCACTTTTCTTTTTCTTTGTAAAAAAGAAATATCCTTAAAAAGACACAATTCGCACACCTATGGACACTTTGGGTCCTAAGACGCGCGTGTCTTATTATTCAAACATTTTCATCCTTAATTTTAGCTACTATATGTTCCTTTGTAATAAATTATTCTTCTTTTATTCATGAGCATATTATTATTTGATTATTTTTCGTTGATGTTGTTGTTCATTGAGAGAAATATATCAAAGAAAGAAACTCGTAGAAATATCAACGAACGATCGAAAGATGCTCCGGGTACTTGCACATTTGCGTCGATTCGCTCATCGATACAAAAGGAAGAAAAGAACAACACGTTTCTAGACGAGAGCATGAATTTATTTCGGATCGTACTCGGATTTCTCGTCTCTCTTTTTCTCTCTCTTTCTTTCTAAGACATCATGGAATCCGCTTGTCATTTCTGCATATAGCATCGAATAAATGTTTCTTTCAGTAAGCAAATTCAAGTTTTCTCGAGAATGTCAACGGGCTATCGAGAACCCCGAAATGGGCTCCAATAGTTTCTCGTTATTTGTGGAAATCGTAGAAAATCGAAGAACGAGCAGATGTTTTTTTTAGATGTTTCTTGGTAAAGCAAGACCAACGTTTGGGGAGGAATAATCTTTGAAAATTTATAAGTTTATTTTTACATTCATTTCATCTGAGTATATTTATTTTATTATTCGACATTATTGTTACATTTTCTGGTCGTTAATTTAAACAAAAGAATAAACGTTTGATTTTTGTCCACACTAATTACTTATCTATCAACTAGAATGACAAGGGGATTCGCGAAATGTTTTGGTAGCATTTTGCGAAAATATTTCGTGTGTCGGATTTTCGGGTGACGTTTTAATAGAAGAAAGAAATATTCGACCGTGAATCGGAGACTTGGCGGCTGTTACGGGTCAGGTGATGTTTGGTTTAGAGCGTTGAAAAATCTCTTCAATGCATAGCACAAACTCGAATAGAGAGAAAGAAGGAAGAAGTAAAAAAAAAAGTGAGATGGAGAGAAGTTTGTAAAACGTGGGTGTTTTGGCTCGAACCTCCTAGAGAGGGAAAACGTTGCGCGTAATACGTCGAGGATTACGAGAGGCTGCTCTTTCTGCACACGGTACGAAAATGCATGAGTCGATCAAGATGTTTAGTGAATCATTTCTACCATCGATTAGTTCACCCTTATATCTTAAATATTTCAATTACTATTTTATCACAACCTTTTTCTTCCTCTCCTTTCTCATATTTTTCATTTTTTTTTTATCGATTACGATAACTTTGATAAGCATGCACACGTGTATTACGATCGATGATTCGTACAATCTATCTTCGTATGATTACTTTAGTAATAATAAGTACAAATTTTGTAAAAACCTTGATAATTCTTCAGCTGTTCATCGGATTTATGAAAAAATATTTTTTGAGGAACAATTCTGTTTGGAATTTTTCCT